AGAGAACTGAATGAAATTGTAATAATGAGGATGAAATTTCATTCCAGTCCTCGACAATTTTTATGTAAGATGGCCTTGAATAGTGTGCTAATGAATATGATTTTATGAAACCATGAAACCGCATGATATGCTGGGGCGTAGGCAAACGTAGATGAAATGGTTATGTACCAACTTTGAGCTATTTGACATACGTTATATTCACTCTATGATCTCTGGAATTTAAGCTAAAAGGAGAGTCACCTATTGGAAGGAGAGCGTTTAATCGAAGGGGGCACTTATTATTCTACTTAACTAATTGCGATGTAGTTGAAGCTTAAAATGTAATAAATAAATTGGCGGTGGAAACGGCTTTTTTCGTATCCCTTCTATTCGAGAAATGAAGGGAAGAGGGAGGGGGAAGTGGGGGGAGGGCGCTTGTTCGGATAACGCTTATAAGAGTGTGAACAGTTATTTTAGGAAATACAGTATTTGTAATCGGATGTTGTCCATTATTTTCTTTCTAGGTCTAGAGAAGAATGAGACAGCTCCAAAGCCAACGTTACAAAAACCACGCAGACCTTCAAACAAAGAAAAAGAGGAAGCCGTCCAGTTCTCAATTGAACGTAAAAATGGGGTGAGTACAATCATATTACCAATGGACTTTTTGAGAATTTCATGCAATCGAAGATGATGAAGCTGAAGAAGTCGCCAACATGCAGGCAACTTGACATCCCTAGGGACCAATTATTTTTTATTGCCTGGGGAGGAAGTCACAATTAAGTAATCTGATCCCCTCCTTAGGTTACACTTTATTGTAATGACCTTCTCCCCCTCCCCCCCTTACTGGCGGTCAATTTCTTATAGTCCCCCCTTTATACTCTTGAGCGACTGACTGGCTCCCTCTGTCCCTCCCTAAAAACCATGTGATCCCTCCTAATTTCAACCCCCCTCCCCTCCCTGACGATAAATAATAACTAAGCCCCAAAGTGATACGTTTTCGTGGTCTGTTTGTAGTTTAAATGGGATTTCAAGACAGACAAGGATTTCAAGGAAAAGATGGCTTCTGTCACCACCATATACTGTCGTGACAACAGGACAAGATGTGCTCTAAAAGAAACAACAAGAAACAGGTGATCATTTTAAAAGAAATTAGTCTGTACAAATGAAGGTTAATCGCTAAGTCTCCACGCCATACATGTACATGACACGTATTACAATAGATTGAGTCTGGTGTTTCTCCTTGTTCTAACTTAACTGAAGGGGGTCACGGAGTTTATCCAGATTCTCCGGTCTTCCCCTTCCCCCACCCCCCAATGAAAACCAAAAGGCCCAATCTCAACGCTGCTTTTCAGAATGAATCTTAATACACGTGAACGTACTGCGTTTTTGTTTGTTTAGCGTTGTAGAGTATTCATAGGTCAAGTTACTTCGCACCTTGTTATAATTCAACCGTCCTTGAATGTAACAAAAAAAATAGATATTTACACTTTGTTTATTATTTTTTGTCCTTCTTTGCCAGACGGTCGCTCCTTTTTGATCTCTACACTACAGATCAAATCCATCGTTTGCCTGATTACCCCAAAAACTCATCCGGGCTCCTTTACATAGCGTTCTATGTTCAGCAACCTGTTGGCCAATATGTCAGCAACGCGTCAGCACTACCACGTAGAATACTGGCTCAAATTATGGTCATTCACAAGAGTGAGATTGAAGCAGCTATTGGTGCAAATATATCTGGTATAGAAGCGTGGTTTAAACCTGGCGAACCAACCTTTTCGCCAACTTTAGGAACAGCAGAACCGGCTGCAAAAGAATGGAAGTGGATTATAATTGGTGTTATTGTGGGAGGAGTGTTTCTCGTCATCGTTGTCATTATCGTTTGGAGATGGTAAGTCAAAATAACACTTTTTGGCGTCAAAACCTGTGGTCAAACCACATCTGTGGCTCAGGTTCGAATCCTAGACCTGGTGTCACATGTGGGTTGAGTTTGTTGTTGGTTCTTGTCCTTGCTCTGAGGGTTTTTCTTGGAGTTCTTGGGCTTTCCTTCCTTCCCAGAAACCAAACATTCCAAACCGCCTCGTGGGATGTCGATATCATTATTATGATTATGATTATTATTATTGGTGTTATTTTTACCATTATTTATATTATTGTGTATCAGTTCTTCCCCAGATTGGGATGCCAGTCAATCCCCTTGCATTTCTTCAAGCTTTCTAGACAGTTTTCCGGTGCTTTTATATGATAACGATTTTAAAGAGCCTCTTTAAGGCAAAGTACGCTCCCAGAGGCATAACACAATAACCCCTGCTATGTCTTGAGCCTGATCCGTATGATCTTGAGACAAAGGCACCACATTAAAGGGGTACAACTTCCTCCTTTGACTCCTTACCACGTGAATTCAAATGAAAATCAAGAGATTCGAATGATCAATGTGAAGCTATTCTTCAATCTATTTACTTTAGTTTGAAGAGGAAGAGGAAGGACAAAACTGTTGTGATCCCTACTGTTGTTGATGACACACCTGGAGGAAACATCGCCATGAAGAGTTATCATCAGTCTGTAGAGAGCCTGGAACCAGCACCCAGCCAGTGAAACGCTTTTTTCTATCGTAAATGTAGAAAGAAATTACCCTATAGTTGGTCACCGCTCAGCTTTCTTCCGTGCGTGTGCTAGGGAACTTTAGTTTTCACTCGGGAAAAATATTAGTCCTTAGATCAGAGACCACAATTTCAGTCGTATGATGGTAAACGCTTGTCAGAACGTATCTAAAAATAAAATTATTTGACGCGAACCCCGTGAAACTAAAACGATTTTACAAATGTGTTTTACCACGTCTCGTGAAAGAAAGATTGTAAAATATAATTGTGTCATATCACTTAACAACATCTTACTACACCTTGAGCTCTTCATACTACCTTATATCTATCTTATCTTAAAACTGGTTGGAAATCTTTTTTAAAAGTGGTTTAGGTAGAGCCTCGGTTGTTCGAAGGCTGGATAACGCTATCCACTGGATAAATTGCCATGCAGTAGTTAAAATGAAAAGTTTTATTACACTTATCAGCTGGTTAGCGATTTATCCGGCGGTGGAAAGCGCCATCCAGCCTGTGAAAACCCGAGGCCAGAGGTGTAGTTTCTACATATGGAGACCATTTTCATCGCTAGATAATGTGTTCAAAATTTCGGTCGAGTTTTATTCGGTTAAACCGTTTCAACCTCTTCAAAAAACATTTGTAGTATGATTTCAGCTGTTTTCCGGTTCTTAACACACTTATGATTTCTCCTACGTTCTCCTAAAATTATCCTCATCATTACACTTAAAAATGCCACTGATGACGCTATTTTGTAGAACCATAATTTGAATTTTTTTAAAAAAAGGTGCATTTGAGAAATTATATTTTTCTCCTGAGGATAAAAAGAAAAATAAGTTCGACATTAATTGAAAATGAAACTTGGTCTCTAGAAGGTTCTGTGGATAAAACTCTTGCTCTGCGTGCGTACTTTTGGAGGTTCAGTGACTTCAAAAGGAAGGTGTCAAATTTCGGTCATGACTTTTTCTCGCTATTTCAAATGCTCAAAAAGCTTCCACTTGCCTGTCATCCATGCGGACAGGCAGTGTGACTCTTTGTCGGCTGTCGTCAAGCAATAGCACAGTAGGTTGGCTCCGCCTCGTGGTTTCAGCTCAAATGCAAATTACGCTGATATTACGTGATGGCGAGCGAATCATTTCAAATTACAAATTTACCGCCACAAACAAAGACGGTTTCGATCGGCGGAAGGAAATACAAACCTCGACAATTTTTTTCCAATGTGACGAAAACGTAGAAACTGATAAGAGCTTTGGAGAAATCCTGTGGGCCTTTGAGGATTTTTGGACGAAGGCACGTTATGAAAGGAGAGGTGCCTAAGGTACCTCTGGATCATTTGTTAATCAAATGCTGTGGCAAACATGCGCGTCTATCTTCAAAACAGCTTGAGCTGCAGCCAATACAAATCAAGTGAACAGCAGAGAATTTCTCAAAAGCTCTCATAAGTTTCTACGTTTTAATCACAATGGAAAAAAATTTGTTGAGGTTTATTTCTCCTTCCGTCAGTCGAAACCGTCTTTGTTTGTGGCGGTAAATTTATAATTCGAAATGATTTGTGTTTTATGCACTTGTTGAAATTGTTATTTGTTCCTCTTATATTGACCTGCCTGTACCCATGCGTTTGTCCGTGATCAAACTTTAAATTAAAGGAAGTCATTATTGTGGCTAGCTTACGTTATTCGTGCAAAAAAAAAAAAACCAAACAGAACGAAGTATGATTAAGGATCGATGATGATGAACTTGTCAACTTTAAGCTAAATTTGTCAAATTCACAATGATAAGATATAACTTATTCAACTTGCAAATCTAAGAACGTTCCTCGTTTGATGGAAACAATGCATTAGAGGATTGGTGTTTTAAAGTAAAGAAACCATTCACAGCCCGCTTAACAGAATCGAAAAAAATTGCAACAACGTTAACAACTACAACAAAAACAAAGATTAGGAGTTGCAGGCGCTTAGCATAAGTTAGAAGTAAAACTGCAAAGGTCTATCTACGGGCTTCAGCACTTATGTTAGCGAGCTAAATTTCAAACATTCAAGATATCAATCAAATTCCCCCTTAATCAATATTGATTAAATTGACTTTTATTTGAAATCTCTGAGTACAAGTCAATCGATCTATCAACGAGCACAATCCTATGACACTACTGATTCTGATCACCCCTGTTAAGTTTTTAAATATGTACCCAACCTATTTAGCTCCTCTGAGCTTGACCAAGAAATTATAAATTCATGATCTCTTGGCTTGACACAGGTACTGCCTTGAGTTAAATTAAAAAATCAAATAAACCAACCCTTTTAAGACTATGATAGGTAGACAAATACGATCATTAAAAAACTCGTATTTAATTTTTGAATCGACCAGATTGCTTTGGAAAAAAACGTGGTTGTCTGGCATTAAAATCTTGAGTCCATTTGAGTTGACGTTCCTGGCTCAAATAAATTAATTTTTCAAAGGGCATCGAACCAGATTGAAATCGTAAGCGTGTTAAGAACCGGATAGCAGCTGAAATCATACTACAAACGTTTTTTGATGAAGTTGAAACAGTTGAACCAAATAAAACTCGACCTAAATTTTGAACACATTATCTTACGATGAAAATGGTCTCCATATGCAGAAACTATACCTCTTGCCTCGGGTTTTCACAGGCTGGATGGCGCTTTCCACCGGATAAATCGCTAACCAGGTGATAAGTGTTAATAGCACTTTCTATTATATCTACTGCATGGCATTTTATCAAGTGGATAGCGTTATCCAGCCTTCGAACAGCCGAGGCTTTGTCTAAACCCCTTTAAGAATAAGTTTCCAAGCAGTTTTATGATAAAATAGTTGTAAGATTGTATCAAGAGCTTAATGTGTAGTAAGAGGTTTTAGGCGATATGACACAATTATATTTTACAGTTTTTCTTTTACAAGACGTTGTAAAACCCATTTGCAAAATCGTTTTAGTTTCACGGGGTTCACGTCAAATTATGTTTTCTGGATAAGTTCTGACAAACGTTTACCATTATACGACTCAAATTGTGGTTACTGATCTACGGACTAATATATTTCCTGTGTGAAAACTTAAGTTCCCTAGCACACGGACGGAAGAAAGCTGAGCGGTGGCCAGCTGTGGGGTGCCTACTTTCTACATTTACGATAGAAAAAAGTGTTTCACTGGCTGGGTGCTAGTACCAGGCCTGACGATCACTTTTCATGGCGATGTTTCATCGAGCCTCAATTGGGCGCACAGCATTAGGATTTGTCCTCCTCAAACTAAAATAAAGAGATTGAAGAATAGCTTCACATCGTTGATTCAAATCTCTTGATTTATTAAAAATTGAACTGTAACCAGGATATGACATAGTGAAAAAGGTAAAAAACGTTCTCTGGTTAAAAAGGTTTTAAAATATGAGCTTTCGGCTATAGTAAAGTATAATATATATACTTATAGCTTTCGGCTATTATACTATAGTAAAGCTCATATTTTAAAACCTTTTTAACCAGAGAACGTTTTTTACCTTTTTCACTCTTGATTTATATTTGAATTTGCATGGTAAGGAGTCAAAGGTGAAAGCTAATGTGGTGCCTTTGTCTCCAGATCATACGGCTCAGGCTCAAGACATAGCAGGGGTTATTGTGTTATGCCTCTGGGCGTGCACTTTGCCTTAACAGAGCCTCTTTAAAATTGTTATTATATACAAGCACCGGAAAGCTTGAGGAAATGCAAGGGGATTGACTGGCATCCCAATCTAGGGGAGAACTGATACACAATAATGTAAATAATGGTAAATAACAATGCCAATAATTATAATAATGATAATAATGATATTGACATACCATGAGGCGGTTTGGAATGATTGGTTTTGGTGGAGGAAGGAAAGCCCAAAAAACTCCGGGAAAAATCCTCGGAGAAAGGACAAAAACCAACAATAAACTCAACCCACGTTTGACACCAGATCCAGGATTCGAACCCGGGCGACAGCAATGGTTTGGTCCCAGTTTTTGGCACTAAGAAGTGTTATTTTGACTTACCATCTCCTAACGATAACGATCACGATTATAACCACTCCTCCCACGCTAGCACCAATTGCAATCCACTTCCATTCAGCCGGTTTTGCATTTCCTTCAGATGGCGAAGAGGTTGGTTTTCCAGGTTTAAACCACGCTACTATACCAGATATATTTGCACCAATAGCCGCTTCAATCTCACTCTTGTGAATGACTATAATTTGAACCAGTATCCTGTGAGATAGTGATGACGCGTTGCCGACATAGTGGCCAACAGGTTGCTGAACATAGAACGCTACGTAAAGGAGCCCGGATGAGTTTGTGGGGTAATCAGGCAAAAGATGGATTTGATCTGTAGTATAGAGATCAAAAAGGAGCGACCGTCTGGTAAAGAAGGAAAAAAAATGATAAACAAAGGGTGTCTATTATTTTGTCACATTCAAGGACAGTTGAATTAGAACAAGTCAGTTGACCTATGAATATTCTACAACGCTTAACAAACAAGAACGCAGCAAGTTTACGTATATTAGGATTTCATGCTGGGGGGAAGGATGGGGAAGACCGGAGAATCTGGATAAACTCCGTGAACTCCTTTAAGTTAAGTTAGAATAAGAACAAATTACAGACTCAATCAATTGTAATATGTGTAATGTCCATGTATGGCGTAGAAAGTGGGCGATTAACCATCATTTGTACAAACTAATCATCACCTGTTTCTCGTTGTTTCTTTCAGAGCACATCTTGTCCTGTTTTCACTACAGTATTTCGTGGTGACAGAAGCCATCTTTTCCTTGAAATCTTTGTCTTTCTTAAAATCCCATTTAAACTACAAACACACCATGAAAACGCATTACTTAGGAGCTTAGTTATTATTGATTGCTGGGGAGCGGAGGGGGGTTGAAATTAGGGGGGATTGATTGCTTGATTCAGTCTTTATTGATTAATTAAACCAAACACTTGCAGATACACGTGCAAGTTTACAATACAATAGAAGAGGAGTTATCTAAAAAGTATAACTTTCTTTACAAACATTAAACTATTTAAAAAGTAGCGCATAAAGAGCTCTGTGCGAATACGTGGCAGCATAAAGTAATGACCACGTTGACCTTAAGATTTATATGTACGTTTGTTCGGTAGAGGATCTGTTAAACACGTGGGTCAATCACATGGTTTTCAGGGGGAAACAGAGGGGAGCCAGTCGTCGCTAGCAGAGTATAAATGGGGGACTATGAGAAATTAACTGCCAGTAAATGGGGGGAGGTCATCACAATAAAACAAAACCTAAAGAGGGAATCAGATTATTTTATTGTGACACAACCAAAATCGTCCAGACCTCCTCCTCAGGCAATAAACAGTAATTGGTCCTTAAGGATTTCAAGTTCCTTGCGACTTCATCAGTTTCATCATCTTTGATTGCATAAAATTCTCAAAAAGTCCATTGGTAATATGATCATACCCACCCCATTTTTATGTTCAATTGAGAACTGGACGGCTTCCTCTTTTTCTTTGTTTGAAGGTTCGCGTGGCTTTTGTAACTCTGGCGCTGGAGCTGTCTGATTCTTCTCTAAACCTAGAAAGAAAATAACGGACAATAGAGTCCACACTCTAGTAAGCGTTCTCCTCCAAACAAGCGTCCTCCCCCCACTTCCCCCTCCCTCCTTCCTTCATTTCCCTAATAGAAGGGATACGAAAAAAAGTTGTTGCTACTGCCAACTTATTTATTACATTTTAAACTCCAACTACAGCGGAATCAGTACAGAATAATAATAAGTGCCCCCTCGATTAAACGCTCTCCTTCCAATAAGTGACTCTCCCTTAAGCTAAAATTCCATATAAGCGCCTGACCGCTTATTCAAGGAAATATGATATTAATCTATCAAAAATAGAAATCATATTATCAAATTAATTAAAGTTGGTATATTTCATTTGCGTTTGTCTACGCCCCTGCATATCATGCGGTTCATGGTTTCATAAAATCATATTCATTAGCACACTATCCAAGGCCATCTAACATAAAAATTGTCGAAAACTGGAAATGAAATTTCATCCTCATTATTACAATTTTATTCAGTTCTCAGTTTTTGTTCGAATCCTGATCCTAATCATGAATCGAGTTACAGAAAAACGCATTTTTTGCAGTCGTTACCTCTGCATTTTCCTTTGATAAAGTACAAGTCTTGATCACATTCACACTTGTAAGAGCCACGAGTGTTAACGCATTTTTGAAACTCATCCGTGCAGTTGAACAAGCTCACGTCGAGGCACTCGTTAATATCTGATTAATAAAGTACAAATAACAATTAGAAATTAAAAGAAACAAAGAAAATCATGCAAAATTTAAAAAAGTAAATGACAAACTGCTGCAATGAAACAGCTGTTTAGTTTAAGCACCAAGTTTCGTTATCAACCTTCGCAATCGTAACCATCCTTTGCTATTTCAAATCCTTTTTCACAAGAGCAGCTATAACTCCCTGGAGTATTTTTACAGATCTGACTGCAGCGATGACGGGGATTCGAAGGGTCGCATTCATCGATATCTGAAAAGTGAAGTGAGTAGCAAAGACATTAAGAGATGGCCTTCTGGTTGATGAGATGATAGCAGATCTCAGATATGCAAGTCGGGTGAGAATGACAAGAACAAAACTAACTCGAAGTCAATAACGTGGGAAGTGTGAATGTTACGTGTAAGGTGTGTTATGCGAAGTGTGGGATGCGAAGTGTGAGGTAGAAGAACCTGTGTGAAATTAGAGGTACGGTTTGCAACATTATTATCCTTTCTTCTGACTGACCTTTGGGATTACTTTGATTTTGCTTTTACAATACTTAACCTCTCTCGGTTATCAGTTACAAATGTTCACTCAAGAAGAGTCAACTTTACTGCATATATTTCGCTGTAAACTCATATTGAAATTCATAGTCGCAAAATTTCTTAATACCTCTGCAACTTTTGCCAGCACTGTCCAGCTGATAATTAGCATTGCACGTGCATTTAAGTTCATCATCGTCCCCTGTGAAGCAAACATGTTGACAGCCATGGCCAGCAGGACAAGGGTTTATGGCTGTGTAAAAAAAATGTCACATTGACATTAGATAGAATTATTTGTAAATGTGATAAGAACTTAATAACGTGTCGTTTTCATTGATGAAATGAACGAATTTATTAGAAGTCCCTTTTTTACATTTTTACTTATAATCGATTTCAAGGGATTATAAACAGTTTATATTTTCTTGCTGGCGGTTAATCTCTTAGCCGTTATACTGCTAACGGTTTACCCCTTTGAGACCCGCTGAAAAGAATATTGATAATACCCAATTACTCATCCGGCTGCAACTCATTACGAGTATAACAGGCCAGCCATCGATATTGTTCTCAAGTCTCCTTAGCAGTTCGCTACCAACCATTTTGACAGAGGCACTTTGTGAGTGAAATTCATTACCCATGAACTCAACAAGTTGACTTGGTCAGGTTTCGAACCCAGACCTTTTGATCAAAGACACAATGCGCGTTCCATCGGGTGGTTACGTTTCCCCAGGATGAAGCCAGTAATGTTTCCACAAACACCCCATTCTCACCTACACACTTCTTTGGATCACTGGGATCAACTTGAAAAAAATTGTCGCATGAACAGCTGTAACTTCCTCGTGTGTTGTTACACTTCTGCATGCAATCGTTTGTTGGCAGGCATTCGTTAATATCTACAAGCAAATGAAAGAATATCTTTCACATTGACCACAACTGTACCTAACATTACTCTTTTTAAATGATGGACTAGAGAGGAGGACCAGACGAACTTAAAAAAGAAGGATTAGCTCAAGGATAATTTTTATAACCTTGCGTTTTTTTTTATAACATAAAAATGTAAAGTATGTACATGACAACACATAAACAGTAAAAGCTTAAAAATTTGAACAAGGTGAAAACCGTCGACACACGTAGAGAAACTCATGGTAACGTATAATGCGTAGGAAGTTCATCAGGGTTAATTGTGAGTCAGTTCCTGACTCCTCTTTTCATATAAAATCAATCGGATCTGGGAGAAAATTACTCTGCAAAATTCAGTTCCATTTCTGGGTCATGCGTATACCCAAAACAAAGCGGAATAGGACTCAAAGAAACTGGACAGGACTTAAAGTAATTGGACAGGAATAAAAGAAATTAGGTGGCTTACCATCACACGTGCCGCCATCAGCATTCAGTTTGTATCCGTTGTTACAATCACAGAAGTAAGAACCTGGCAGATTGACACAGAGCTGATCACAGTTAATTCCCGACTTATTTTGGCATTCGTCGATGTCTGAAAAAAAATGCATAGCGTCAATTAATCAGTAACGTACACCATTGTGTAAAAACTGTCTGAACGTTCACGTACGTTATCATTAATCGTTCTTTTAGAGTCCCTTGTGTGTAAGATCACAATGTATTCTCGACTTGGTTATCTGCATTTAAATATTTAACGATTTTTCAGTTCTTTGAGTCTACAGGTGTAAGAAACGATAGCTTTTTGATCGATCAGAAGGGTCCTTTTGAATTTCCACACAAAGATAGCTATAGAAGTGAGGTTATTCGAGATCAGAAGACTTAACATGCACAACTTTTTTCTTTCACTATTCGCAAACAATTCAAATTTACCCCGAGGTGGCAAGATGTTTTCATGTGTGCTAACTCGAGCAAGTCACTGAATTCACCTTTGCTCAGAATTAAACTTCATCCTTGGAAAAATTGAAAGAACCCACCAGCACACTGAGCTCCATTTCCAGTGTACCCTGATGGACAAGGTCCACATTTATATCCACTGGAATTGGCTGGCGCAGGAAGATCAATGCACGCAACTCCCGCGTAACACGGCTGACCATTCATTTCGCAGGCGTCAATGTCGCTGTCACAGAATCTTCCTGTGTATCCTCCCTGACATGCACATCCCATGTATACAAACTTGCTGTCAGTGTTGGCTGTGTCACCCTCTTCTGGCTTTACGCATTGACCATCATGTTGGCAAGCACACATGTTAATAATTGGACTCCAACTGGCACTTGCGCCTTTGTCGTTAGAAGCAACGAAAGTCAAACTGAACTGCAAAGGGAGATTTCAGACGGCGTTAAGCTTTTATTCACCCGAGTAAGCCCCCACTAGAAAAATAACGTGGTAGAGACTCAGATAACCCGCGATTGCACGGAAAAGTTTTTGCTAGTTTTGAGGTGATTGAATCAAGGAATGTACCTCTTTCGCGTTTCAAATGCCAAGGCTTTAAGAAGAGAAGTACATTCAACTAATTTCTCGCGCCTTCTGTGCAGTTTGCCTTTGAAAGCGCGGTAAAATTCTTGAAGTCCCTCACAGACGACTTTCCTCAGAACGGTACAGGAACATAGCTGATACGTTTAAGTATACGTTACGCTGCAAAATGCGAAATGACGGATTCTCTCGAAGCGAAAGATAAAACTTTACATACCATATCAGATACTTTGATTAGATGAGAAACATTTTCTATTTTGAAGAGACAAAATGTTGGTAAGCATACCTTTCTTGATGTTGTAACAAGCCAAGTGAAATATAACAAGTTACCAGTCTGGTTCCAAGTGGCCCCTTCAGGATTGTTAATCACGCGAAACTTAATCGTGTCGTTATCGACAGCCCTGATGCTCAAGTGAACTGTATCACCAAGGGTCGCATTTATCGCGTTCGAAACAGTCTCTATTTTGGGCGGGAAGTTGTCTGTGAAAAAGAAAAGTGAACGCGTAACAATGTAATCGTGAAATAAATGCTACAGGTAAATTGGATCCGCAAAAAAATATATCAGAAGTTAATTGGGGACGCTGAAAATAGGAAAAATTTCTGATAGATTCTCCCACAGAGTATCGGGAATCCCAAATGATTACAACAACTTTACGCAGTATTATCAACATTTAAATATTTTATCAATTTTAACCCATCACGAATGTTTAGATACCAAAAGAAAAAGACTACATTTGGAATACAGTTGTCTCCAAAACGAAGTATCACGTTAAAGTTTAATAGGCAGCACGGACCGAGTTTTTTTTGCGATCGAATTTATGGCACAAGCAGGAGATATAATGATAAATTCAAATACTTACTGAGTTGTTTTGTCTCATTCACCAGTTGAATGCTGATATCTTTGGTTACCAAGCCAAGAGACAAGTCGTTGGTGGAAGCCACGTCAAATAGACACTCTTGATCGTTTCCACATTGATCTTCAGCTTTCTGTCTTAAACTGTCATTATGCCACGTGATGTTATCAGCAAACATGGGCTCAAAATCAGGATCTGAAAAACTGGCCACGCTTTCATTGTTACCATAGGTAAATAAAGATTGGGACTGGTTAATTTGCCCTGAAAAGAATAGCGTAGAAGACTTGTAATGAACTTGTAAGGCTGTAATGACGCTTTAGGATCAACCGTCCAACTGCCATATTTTAGCGCGAAGACAAAAGATAAAAAAATTAAGAAATTCCTAGGAAAAGAACTCTCAAATTCCGGCTGCCTTCCGCGTCCTCGAAATGTCGGAGTTTAAATTTCTTGTGCTAACCGAGTTCGAAGTCCGTTCTTTAAGTTACGCTTAAATATATCCGAGCGGAAAAAACGAGTTTCCATAAGTTACAGTTCGAAGTTAGCAAGATATTTAGTATGTCTCTAAAATCAAATTGAGGTGAAAGATTTCAATTCAAACAAATTTTTTTTAATTTAGCGGCCCGTGCAGTGAAATACGGCCCGCTAAATCAGGCAGTCTTAGGGCACGCTCTAACCTAGAGACCTTATGTTCTTCCCTGTGTGATGTGTAAGTAGAGTGCTTCCCACTTACAAGGAAAAGCAAGAAAGACTGTGTGGGGATACTTACACTTGACACCAAACGAGAAATGAATATCCCTTAATGAAAATGACTTTAAAACAGTCCCATCAGGCCTTGTGAAGTCATCATCCGGGTTATCATTCCACGTTCCCAACAGTCCTTTGGTGGTGTTTTTCAAATCCTCACCGAGACTTACCACAAACGACAACATTTCTTTCTTCACACAGAAGTTGACGGATGTTGTTGAGGGAAAGGAAACCTGTAAACAGTTTTTCTCTGGTGCTGAAGCAGAGAGATTTCCACCGATTGCTATACTCTTGTCTATTAGGTTGTTGTAGCCGTGGTAGATTTTCTTGTCTAACAAAATTTCCAGCCCTCCTAAAAGTGAAGAATATGTAAGTCAAACTACACCGTCGCAACTATTAGGACTGCTTTCTATGGATGTTAGCGTTAATCTTTATCTGTCTTTATCTTTATCAAGTGTGAGATCATAACTTGCTAATCGTCCTCATTTTTTTTCATGTTATTAACTGGTAATTTTCAAATTTTTTAACAACAAGTAGTATTCTGAGTTATTGAGGAACGCATCAAAAAACTATCCAAACTCTCTCAAGGCAGATTTTAACCCTGCAGTGAGCAATTAATTTATCAATTAATCGAGACATTCTTTTTTTTGTAAGTTATGTAAAATGCATAACAGTATCCTTACCTTTAGGCTTTACCCGTATTTCGATTGTGCTCGTATTTTCTTCTTTAGCTGCGCCGGCCGAGAAAATAGTTGCTTTCGTGTTATTCCCTTGAGCACGTTTTGTTCTGGCCTGAAGTTGAAATTGTCCCTCATTTGCATCAACCATGACGAACTCACCGAGACCATTGAAAGTATAGCTTCTATCATCAAGTGTTTTAATGTGAGGATCACCCCAGAACCAACCTAAAAATGTAACAGAAAATTCTCAAAAACAAACCGAAAGCAAATAGCGATGATATTTTATTCCACGTATTAAAACATTTCGAATTAGTGAGTTGGTTGTTGGAAGGGCGAAAAAGTCAGTTACTTTTTTAATGTGAGGATCACCCCAGAACCAACCTGAAAATGTAAAAGAAAATTCTTAAAAACGTACCAAAAGCAAATAGCGATGATATTTTATTCCAAGTATTAAAACACTTCGAATTAGGTAGTTGGTAGCCAGAGAGGGCGGAAAAGTCGTAAATTTTTGCTTTGTGAATTTCAGGCCCTGATGTAATATTTTCAGCGTCCCGTTGAATAGTAAAGATGGAGCGCAATTTTCCTGCAACATCGCCAAAGTCGATTGTCATACCGACTGTCGTGACAATGTATGAACTCAGGAAATAGTTGTCGCCCTTCTTTTAAACAATAAAGGCGTAATTTTCTAAAGAAACTGTGGTGCTACGTCGGTGAGAGAGTATAGCAGGTAATTTAGTGATAACAACTGAGTTGAAAACGTAAATTAGCCACCGTAAAGGGTAAAAAAGCTGACGTTTCGAGCGTTAGCCCTTCGTCAGAGCGATTGAGCGATCGCTCTGACGAAGGGCTAACGCTCGAAACGTCAGCTTTTTTACCCTTTACGGTGGCTAATTTACGTTTTCTTTTAAACAACTTGAACCAACATGTGAGACCACACAAGGGACGGGCGATCTGGATATGTTAGATGTAACTGGAGTGGAAAAAAAAGACACCATACCACTCCACAGGGGAGCAGGGCTGGCACAGTGGTTCTGTGGCTGGGGTTCGATTCCCGGACCTGGAGTCACATGTGGGTTGAGTTTGTTGTGGGGTCTAGTCCTTGCTCCAAGGGTTTTTCTCCGGGTCCTCAGGCTTTCCTCCCTCCACAAAAACCAGCATTCCAATTTCAATTTGACCTAGAAACAGTGGAAAAGAACTGAACTTACGTCTTAATGGCGGCCTATACAAGGAGCAGTGATCAGACGGACGGTAGAAGTAGAAATGCTCACACATATTTGTATCAACACAACAAAACTGATAAGCCTGCCGGTCTGTGTACATTTCCTCCATCTCTTCAACCTGATTAAACCAGTCATCAACTTTCACGTGTCCGCCATCAGGAGGACCAACCTTGAGAGAGCCCCAGTCGTCCCAGTTAGTTGAGTAACAACACTGCTGTCTCACGGTAAAACCCCTGATATCACTATTCATTGGAAAGGGAATGAATTTGACACGCCTGGACTCGTAACACCAATCAGGCCAAGTGGACCACCAATCCCAAGAGAATCTTCCCCAATCTAACCAGGCTTGCCATTCCGTACAAGGACAGGCCATCCGCCAGTCTGAACGTATCAGTTTATCGTACCAATCACGCATGTTCAATCCTCTTTGGCGCATACTCCAAGCCATGCACTTCTCTAATGAGTCTTTTTCCGTATTGTTCTCGATCCTCCAGAAATATTTTCCAGGTGATCCCGTATTTCCGTTTTGTTTATCTAGATTATACATTCCAAACAAAGTTCCGGATCTAAAATAGAACAAAAAAATACAAATCAATTGAAAAAAAATTTACTATAAAGTTCTTATTTCAAGGAAAATGATTAAAGATTGTCATAGACCTCCTGATGCAGTTTTCGTACCCTTTAATGTTAAGGTAATCCTGACCATCATTCCCTGCGTTCCACCCAGCAGTAGGGAGACCATAGTAGCCAGTCCAGTAACGGTAATCAGAACTGTGAGGAAGTAGAAGTCAGTTTTTGATTATACTTGAATAAAGCTAATTTTTAATTGAAGCCAGTCTTAGCCTCGGTATTAGACGGTGTTTTGGGTGCTTGGTGAAAATAAAGGCCTACATGCCTCGAAAACGAGTAGTGGAACTCTCTCAATTTTCTTTTCCAGACCCCTTGTGGATCCTCGGCTCAACGATTGAAACCACTCACAGAACCGCCAGCTAAGCCAATATATCGTTCTTCGAACTAGGCGAAAGTTTCATGCAAATCGTGGATTGCAAGAGTTGAGCAGCTAACATTACCTCATTAAGTTTAAGAAAGGTTTATCATGGACATTGTTAATCAATAAAATAGACTGGAATTATGTATTTTAAAATAGCTAAAAAAAGAAACTTACTGATCTGCAGGAACCACCCACTGAATGCCATTGTGGGGATAATTGTACATCAAGAACGTGTTAAATCCATCTGTTATTATAACTGCTTGAAATGTGTTGTTCTGAAAAAAAAATTGAAACTTATATCAACTGACGTACCTACACTAAATGACAAAGATATTTTTTAAATTTGAAGGGAAGAGATATGAAAATAATGCAATGTGTATTATAAAAAAGATATTGAAATATACAGAAGAAAAATATTTCTCCTATTTCTTTGTTGCTGTTGGTTTCTTTGTGGTTTTTTACATTTCCCAGTTTTGTCAATCTATTTTTTTTTCAATTCTTCATTTATTCGAAACGCATGCACTGTAAAGAGTGGAAAATTACTGGTCTCTCTAAGCCTGGACACCAGTGTGAACTGCATTGTAATCGTAATTAAGACTTTACGTGAACAGCAGGTGGAATAATAAACAACTATTCACCGAAGTGGAGCTGACTAGTAATGATATTTACCGAGCTGCAAAGCGGTGGGGCAAAATCGCACAAAAGATGATTTCAAATCATTAATTCCCGCAACGATTACAATATTTTAAGGCGCAAATCCTGCGCGTGAATGCCCGGAGGTGAATGGCAAAAATATTTCAAAGTGAAGTTTGAGTAGCCAATCAGAGCGCGCCTTCGACGCTATCCACTGTTTTAGTATGTACTAAGAATGACCATGGACTAGTTTGATCAACCACACATATTTACTTACCCAGCGACAGTTTAACTTAATTTCCTGGTATCCATAATAGTAATAGTAGTATGGATAATAGACGTACGGACAGAGATTCTCCCAAGTCACTACAAGGACCCAGGAGGCCTGAAAGTTGGAAAATCCTTCAGTGTAGTTCTGCACGTGTTTTGCAGCCATATCAAGAATATTAGAGGAGCTTTCCTTACTTTCTTCGTATACTTGATAATACACCCTGGAATGGTTTTTTTTGAAGGCAAAGTAAGTATCAGTCGTCGCCCAGAAAGGTGCAATAACAGCCATATTTCTGAACCATCGATAGATACCAAACTTCTGCGGCCACCACCAGCTCCATTCATATTTCAGTTGGATTTTACCGTCGCGGCATATCTGCAAGGCAGAATGACAGAACACAATCAGGCAGCTTGATCATAAAGCGGATAATCATAGTTTTACAGGCTGATCTTGTACATTTGTACGTTATGATTCTTTACAGATGTATGCAAACCCCAGAGTGCTCTCTAGCGTTACACACGAATGGCAAATCTAATTCTTAAAATACAACCTTGAGATAAATTATAATGCTAACATGTTAAAGCAAGTTTTCAATTGAGTGTCGAAAGACCAAAACCAAATTGTTCCTAGCGACTGAGCAGACCAAAGGGTTACATCATTATTGGCCAATGAGAACTCAAAGAGAAAACAAGGAGACTGCTTGGCGCGCGGGAAAACGCAGATGACCAAGTCACGATTGTTGGCAAGTTTTGCATCTGATTGGTTGAGAGGATAGCGCGAGTTTTCTGGACCAATCATAGTGAAAAGTTGAGTAAAAATTGATGTTTACTGAACTTAGTTGAAGAAATTGAGTATTTCTATAGGTTTTAAGGCTGGAAACTAAAGCAGCAAAGAAAAACATAACCTTTTTAAGGATGATGCTTGTGGTAATAAGAAATTACGCCGAGTACGACGATAACGTAACACATGTGAAGATCATCGAGAAGAACTTACATGCAGTTTATAATGTCTCCCCGAGAAGAAGGGGAATCCCTTCCAGTCTGTATTTATTCGTAAGCACCACCGGGAGGAAAAAGACCGTGAATCTTCGAGACGAAACTCGCTGTCATTCTGCTGAGGGCCAAACGGATACACGTTGCTCGCTTTGAATTGAAAAAGTATACGAAATAGTGAACTTCAAGTAATAGAGCATTACCGTGTATATGCAGCTTCATCTCAACTCGATAGGGGCTGTAAGAATTAAATTAAGACAGTTATTAAACAAGAGATGTATTCTAAATGACAGGCTGGTCTAATAATAGAGAAAGCGGTAATTAAAATTAAATTTTCTAAAAAAGAGCATTTAGCTAATTCTTTCCAGGAATGAAATTCATTTGCATTGTACACAGTTTCGTTACAGTTGCAATCTATTACATTAAGGAAGCACAACAAACACAAGGAATATAAAGACAAAACAAAACAAATTATAGAAGAAACTATAATTGCTTACTATCAACAGGAGGGGAAGTCGTTCTGTTAGCTGCTGAAAAATAAAGAACAACATAATATGTAACAGCAAATTTTCATAAATAAACAGAAGTCAAAATACTTCAAACTAGATAATATCTAATCTAGAGCAGCTGGTGAGTAAGGAAGGATTCCATATCAGCACTCGATGTTCTACTGAGGTAGATGTTTAACGATGTCATGCCCAAAAAAATTTTTGAGAGGTTCTATTGGCAAAACATGACGCTGTTTGTTTTCATATTATTGATGAAGGTACTTGTAGTAGGTGGCACTGTTGTGTCCGCTAAAAGAAAGATTAATTAAGCTTAGATATAATAATTCTATCTAAGGTAAAATTAGTACTTATTGATAATATATACTTTAAACCTTTATTTTTCTGAAAGATGCAAGGGATGAGAAGCCATTGATCTCAAAAGTCAGAGAGTTGGAAAACTTTGGACCTTTATAGAAAATGAAAAACTGTGGAATATTTGTTACACATAATGGCGAACGAAAGGAGTTTACATGCCTTGTGTTTTAGTCGTAGATTTGGTCGTTTCTTATGGGTACATTTTCAAATTTTCAAAGGGGATCGTCTTTTTTAATAACAACATAAACTGAACGAACTGTACCAAATGAATGTCTTGAAATTTAAGAAAGTTAAGTTTCTTGAAAAAAGGGACAGGTATGTACCTCATATTTGGACATGTTTATTCGTCTAATTACACGTTCTCGAAAAATTACAGCTCTATGAAGATTTCTTTTATTGTTGATCCTCAGACTAGATTATAATAATTAAAGTATGAAAGCATTATTGAGTTATATATGTGCTATGTAAAATGTATGGAGTACCTCGTTTTAACCAATTTTGACTTGAAGTGCTGCACATTCTAAATGTTTCACATTCTAAAAGTTTCACCGGTGATCAGCTCAATTTCGAACGTTTCGAGCTAAATTGTCTTGACTTTACATTAACAGCCAACAGAATACTATTTCCGATCTCACTTACAAACCGAAAACGAGGCAATCTTAATATTAAACCCCGCTTTTTTATGGTGGAAAAAAGTTTAGTCCCAAGTGATTTGAAATAAGTAAACGATCGAGGTTATTGAACTCTAAGTTAAAGGAACCGCTCTATTGCTTTGGCGGGCAAATATGCAGCGACGGAGCTTTATGCTCGAAACTTCAGCTTTTCGAAATTCCAGTTAACCAACAATTATCAACTTGAAGTGGATGATCAACTGAAATGAGTAGGGCAACTTGCCCATCCCAGATGGGATAATTATGCAATAAAGGGGTTAGTTTCTAAAGAAACTGCATGTGCTGCTGCGTCGGCTGAGAGGTTTCGAGCGAAAGGCTAAAGAAGGGAAGGGCTAACGCTCGAAATTTCACTGTTTTTTCTTGTTATTAAGAAATAGCTCTTTAGAGTTAGATTAAGCTCCTTTAGCCAACCAATTGGAAAAAAAATAGAAAGCTTTGGATAAAATTCCGTAATTTTACCCATGAATACAAAATTCATTTTCATATAAAACATGACCTTTAAGACACCAGACATTTTCTGACAGCCTTGAGAGGTTCCTTTCAGTAATTCGATCGGAGACGCTGTCAATGATAGTCGGACCAAGTCTATCAGCATTGTCCGAGTTTTGAACTTAAAGTTTAATCTGTATAAGACGTCATTTGCTTCTTGTTCGTCTTATAAATATATTTCATTCGGAACATGAAGATTTCTCGGGATGACAGAGCCGTAAAACTCAGTTGCAGTGACTGATGTGGCCTTCACCACTCAACGCATCGGAAAGGACATCAGAGCAAGCTCTTATTGTTGACTCGAAGGGCGGTCGATGTAATTTCTGAGGCTTGCTTCACTGGCGATCTCTGAGCTAGCCACGTTGGACCTCAGCTTGATCGCAGTCGCTCTGACTGATTAGTATGAATTATAACTGTTCTGCCACATTGGTTATATTTTTTTATCACTCCTGTTTTGTTCTGTTATGTTCTTGAACTCGAACTTTAAATACTATACGTGTTAGCTGTGTTTTATTTTTATTACCATGCGTAAGCTTGCAATCTAACTGAGCGTGAAGCGCGGACTGTCCATTTCGTTTTCTCTTTGAGGATTTTCGTCTCTGCTCACGTTATAATAACGTCAATTACGGCGCCTGGCATGTCTATAAACCTTTGTTTGGTTGTTCTGCTGCTACTGAGATAGGGAAAAAACAAAGGGGCTATAATTTCATCCCCGTACAAGCCAGTTTCGTGATTACTCACTAATTAGGGGATTATATTAAAGATAAATAAAATTCCCTGATGAGTGAGTAATCACGAAACAGGCTTGTAGGGACGAAAGTACAGTCTCTATGTTTTATGTAAATATATATGTATATTTTTTTTGCGACGTAAAAGTTTACACATCACAAAAGAGCTTATCACAATTTACTAAGCACACTCCAGTATTACACTTTAGCGTAATTTAGTTCATCGATCGACCAAATAGGAAACGCCGCAGCTTCTGAATAAAACGAACCTTAAATATGTTCTCTTCTTTTCATAAGATCCGTTGTCTATTTCTTCCTTTTAAAGGCTCCTAAACTCGGTTGTTTTGAACAATCTTTTGCCTTCAAACCCCATTTTCACAGTACAAGAAGTTGACACCTATATTCTTGGTTTTCATGTGATGTCACGCACCTCGATTAAAGTGTAGCGTTTCTTGACGCCATCTTTGATTAACATGTTTGCAAGCCTGTCGATTAATCTTAAACCTTGACGTTCTTTAACGAATTTGACACACGAAGACCTAAAATTAAGTTTAGCCTCGACTAAACTTTGTTTCCTCAAATATTAGAAGGCGAGAAGTTTAATGTTGACTTACCTTTGTGGAAAATGATAAGAAGAATCAAAACATAACTTCCGCTTTGCATCATACTTTCAAGTTAAGTTAAGGGTCTTGACACTTTCACGCTACATTTTCTTGACCACGCAAACTACAAACAAGGTTACTGGGCAGCTTTGAAGGCTTCTTGAGAACTACGTAATGGTAAAAAAAACTGTTTTTGAAAACAATTTTTCAGTCGTCGTTTTGACGACGTACTGTTTATGGATGAACGTCTGTTCGGAACCACTTCCGTCTTTTCTGAGAAACCGATGCGCCCTGTTTTCTGTCACTTAGAGGTTTGACGTGATTTGGTGTTTGCGAAAGATCTCAGCAGGGTGTATGTCCCATGGTAGTCACAGCTTTCTCCGTCTTATTACCGGTAACCTGAACTCGATAAGGTTTTTAGGCCAATTCCACCGACTTGCAAACCCATCAATTCACCTTCTTATACTATTTTTTATACATGTATGCACCATCAAAAAGGTTCTCTCGTTATCATGCGCCATAGAAGAACGGATTGCATCTCTTATCTACTCTGATGAAGGTCGTAGAGATGAACGAAAGTCAAAATAGGTCGTTTCCATTTTATCACTAAATATACTCTTGCAAGTAGTGTGCCAAGCTGTTCTCCAACTCGTCAAATTTGGTCTTTCTTTACTGGTTGTAGATTTATCGCTTTTATCCCATCCCTCGTGCGCGTATATGTCAAAAAGCGTTCGTCGCGACGAGTCTTTTAAGCAGTTCGGACACAAAGCGAGAGAGGTCAGATGCACAAAAAGAATAACAAACTCCAAGGCCGGTTACAGAAGAAAAAACCTACGTGAGTCTGGATTGTTATTGCGTCAAGGAAATTATATGTAGCGTGTCTTGAGCGTTTGCAGTATGTGTGTTTTCAATTCAGTTCCAACGCAACTCGTTTTTAAAAATTGGGCAAAATATTTACCGCAACCCGTCAGTAAAAATGTGTGCATGTATCAGCCAGGTTAACAAGAGTAGAAGTCACTTTGAGCAAGCTACGTTCTCTGTCAAAAACAGAAGTCGTTCATACAAGCCTTTTTTTTTTTATCTCGCGCCTGACCACTGCCAAAAGGTAAAGAATCCCTAACCTTGCTTAAAATACGTAAAAATCAACTATCTTGATTTAAAATTGCGAGTAAAATATTGCACTGAAGTATAACATTGCAGTATGGATTGCTTCCACAAAATTAATTGGTTTGACGGTTGATCTGACCTTACGTAAAAAGGTACGAAAGCCAGACGGTTCAAGTTTCAGTAAACAACGGATTTTGAAAGAAGTTAAAGAAAATATTTGTCACAATAAACAACTAACAATTTTCTGCCATCAAATACGCGTTGGACTATTCAGTGAGCGAAGAAAGACGAAAGAACTACTTCGACGAAGCCTAGTACGAGAGCTGACATCCGCAAATGCTGGGAAGTGTCCCGACTCGCGAGCGCTCACAAGTGAGTATTAGCCGCTCTCCAACCCCTTGGGGTTATATTGAATTCCATTAAACAAAATATCTTATTTTGTAATAATGTTTAAGAGAACTACAGATTATGTTCGTGACTCAACAGAAACCCTGCCTAAACTTCCTTCGACCAGTCCCTGTGAACTTTATGGAGTTTTCCCTATAAGTTTTATGTAGTTTACGACGGAAGCGCCGACCAACTGACTGATTGAAGGGCCTTAGCGTATGTCTTTTACTATGAATAAGTAGATAAAATTTCTTTGAACATAATACAAAATTAATCATGAGGCCCAAATTGGTTTCCAACGATGTTTGCAGCTCTAAAAGTTCTAGATGTGGTGTAATTCAGTTAAAAAATGTACTTACCCTAAAACTATAATCATTCCCTACATAATTCATTTTTTTGATTCCCTTTTTGTAGCCTTTGAACTTACTTTCCTTACAAGTGACAAGAAAAATGCCGGGACAACCCAGAATGCTTGGATCGTACTTGAAGGAGAAGAGAGGAAATATCAGGAATACTCTGTAGAAAACAGCGCAAAGAACAAAGTTCTATGTAGAGGACAAACAGACACATTTGAGTTTGCGAATAAAATTCTTGGGAATCTTACTCACGTGACACTGGAACATCGAAGACGGCAGGGATCTGTTGTCAAGGAAACTGGGAAAGAGACTGGTTGGTTTTTACATCAAGTGATTGTGACCAAACCTGGAACAGGGAAAAAGTAAGCTTTGTGCTGACTCTGTTTAACGTAACTTGAAATGTTTCTTTGGTAAAACGGAAATTTAATTCTTTTGAAGGACTCTGGGAGTTAGCGACAAACCATTTTGAAGTGACATTATGTTGCTGTTATTGTTATTGTTGTTTTTGTTGTTACCTGTAATTTTGTGTTTGTTTCCATGAAAGTGTCGTGTAGTGTCTACGTCACTACACTACGTCAGCGGTGAAGACTTTTACTGGATACTGGGCGGGATGAAGGTCTTAAACGAGAAAATAAAAAAAGATAAAAATGAGAAACAAACGCAGAATTACAAGCAGCAACAAAAACAACAATTAATAATAATAACAACAACACAATGTCACTTCAAGTACTTATTCACATATGCTGTGTGATGTTGGCTGCATCTCGTTACCAGTTGTTGCTTTGTTAAGATTTTGATGACATTTGCAGCATTAAAAAAAGAGAGATATTTTTTTTAACCATGAACCGTCCAAGTTAAATGTTTCGTCGCTAACTCCAAGAGTCCTTCAAACAGGGCCTGAACCGTCGGTACAGTACCAGGAAGAAAAATGAGTGCTAAAAACAACGGAATGTTCGAACGGCTCGACGAAATCGGCTATCACTTAAACAAATTTCACAAATTGTCCCTTCAAATTTCCGTCATTCGGAAATATTTGCATTGTATGCCCAGTTTTGTTTGAATCAGCACAAAACTGGACGACACAACGCTTTACCATCGTGAAAAAATTGAATATATTGAAGCAAATTGTAAGTAAAAAAATCATGACGAGACCGGCAATCGAATCGAATCAGTAATTTGCAAAAGGGAAATACTTCATTTGTGAGTTAGAAATCTGTAATTTTCAAAAAAAGGTTTTTGGAGGTTTGAGATGATTAAAATTTCGGCCGGGATCCTAAGTTCTATTAGCTTAATATTATCCACTGAGCAGAAAAACAATATATTTTCAATGTTTATTACTTTTTGAGGAACAGTACTCTACACCTATTAGAGACAACCATTGTACAATTTTGTTTATTTTTGATAAAGACTACTTCATCTAAGCCGTTAGCTTCCTATAGTCCTCCATTGAAGTTAATGTGGAATGTTCTGTTTACTTTTGATATAAGTTGCCCCGCTGACACAAGTTGCAAGAGGTTTTGTAAGCAGTCTGTCATCCATGTTACATCACAGCCTAGAGTCAATTTATAATCAATTAATTGATCACCCAGGGTGATTTCCTGTGTTGAAGGAGTATTTTATCACCCTCTGTGTTTCCAGTCGTAATCCGGTCATTTCCGTAATTGGTAAGACTTACGATATTGGTTTCCTTTACTAAACAACAAGACAAAACTTTATGATTAGCTTAAGCTACCTTTTAAAGTGATAAGAAATAACATGGAAAATTTTAAAAAAAGTGCCTGTTTTGAAATTCATAAAATAAAAAAATTAAAAAGTAGACAAACAACATATGACCGATTTCATGATGAGGGTTATTGGATTGTTAAGTATTAGTGGTGACAAAAACCTCGTAGACTGAAACAATGATCCCTTTTGCAACATTGCACCAGGTCTGTGGTGCAGTAAGGCATCCGCGGGAATATTTGCACGACTGATTCAAATGAACAAACGGGCCAAGTTTCTTAAGGAACTACGGTAATGCGTCGGTGGTGTGTGTGTGTGGGGGAGGGTAGCACAAGATGATTTGGTTTAATTAATCAACTGAGCTGTTAATGTAAAAATTGGCCCACATAAATATTTTCTAAGATTGACGTTTCCCAGCGTTATCCCTTCGTCAGAGCGAAAAGGAAAGGATCAACGCCCGACAGGTCAGTTTAATAACACCCTTAACCCCCCCCCCCCCCCGGCCAATTTACACATCATCAACTCAGTTGATAAAACAATTGACTCATGATCAGAAGAACGTTTGGAATGTACAGAAGATACTAATGCAACTCAAGCTTCTCGCCATGTGCTTTCCACCCTTATACAACGTGTTTTATTCACATCAACGGATGCAGCCCTAACGCGCAAGCCAATTTGTTGATAAGATCTGATTTGACGCTGTACGTCAAATGTTGTCTTGATATAAGGGAAACTTTCTCGGCTAAGGTTTAAACGTCATCAGCGAGCGGAATGGATACGAAGCACACCAATTTACTTACTCTCTTTAGGTCTGTGCTATGTTTCAGATGATACAGAAACACAGGAATACAAAAACAAAGTAACGCTTAAAATTACCTAATAACTTTCTAGAGAAATATTTTCTCAGCCATTCAAAGTGAGGTTGTACTATCCTATCTACGTGAACGACATGGGCTGGGTAATATTTTCAAAATTCCGCCGTTAAGTTCGCGAGGGCTTCTGGGTGCCGCTATATTGGATTATGCACTGACGTGGCTGAGTAGGGACCTGGTACGAGCAATGCAAATTTGACGGTAATTTTAGGGAACGGTAAGTTCTTAGCTTTCCGTCCATGTTCCATGTCTGACTTCGGATGATAACTTCTCATAAGCACGCCTTTTTGAGATGAGAGGAGGTCATATAAAGATTTCGCGTCAGAATATTTGTGTCCCAAATGTTAAAAGATATCTTACAAACACTTATGTTACCTTACTATCTCTAAATTGCCTTGAATGTGCGAAATAATTGTGCTTTGAACGACGAAAAGGGCGGAGGGGGGAGGTACAAGGTGTTATTTTTATAAGGCTCATGGATATGTCTCCTTTTTTCTCAATGGTAACTTCTGTCCGGTACCATCCAATCTTGCATTATTGGTTTTATCAATTGGCCACCGTAAAATCTTTCTAAAGCTGACGTTTCGAGTATTAGCCCTTTGTCATGTCCTCCACTGACCCCTTTATTCAATCAGATATGAGTCCGATCATAGCGACACGCTCAGTTTTATTGCTTGTGGCGATCATTAGCTAGGCACGTGCACGATCAGAACAAAACACGCTTGAAATTCCAGGCTGAACGTTAACCGGAAAGAAAAAGTGTAAAATGCTGATTATTCGCAACAGAAACTGATACATTCTTGTTAGGCTCCCTTCACGCAAGAAACTCGACCAGCTGGTCGAAAGTGTTGGCAAGTCGGGAAAGTATCGCATGTTTTCATGTCTTAATTTGATATTATACAACTGAAAAATTAACGGTAAGTGAGGAGAATTTTAAAACAATCAAACAAAAACAAGGTCAAAAATCGTGACTGGCAGTTTTTAATGGAGTTTACGGAAGACTGATCTAACTAAACAGTCCCTCAATAATCAATTTGTTACCTAACATGGCAAGGATGCGGACAGCTGAAATTTTGCTTTTTCTTCGAGTTTTCTTCCTAGGTAAGTACCTTACTTCAAATTTACAGTTGGACCATTTTGACACCACCGACCGAAAAATGAGATTTGAGGAACTCTTTTGTTGCATTGATGATCGCAGCTCGAGTTTGTTGTCGCCGTCTGAATAACTCATCTGTTTGAAAAAGTGCTGATGACTTGAACTTACTCATGATCTTGCTTGATTTTTGCAATAGCATTTGTTATGAGGAAGGGAAACAGGATGTAAAGTTATTTTTTATTCATGTTAGGCAAAGGGATCATATTATTTCTATTGGCAGTCTAGTGGTGCAACAGTAAATAAGTTTTGATATCAAACCGAGTGTCATAAAGGATGGGCGGGTGATGTCAGTGGCAGAGAACTTAACTGGACCTAACCGTTTGCTGTCGTGCTTGACAAAAAACTTTAACTACAACTTAGTTGATAAAACGAAACTGTCTAGTGAAGACCCCACCAAAGCAGCACCAAAGTTTCTTTCGAAACTTATCCCCTTTGCTCTGATTACAAAGAAGAACAATTGATACAAACTAACGTGTTTAAACTATACCATTTTGAAACTCGATGTAGATTTCTTCGTTAGTGATGTATTTACCTTTTGGATTGAGAAAGAATCTCTTATTAAAGAGGAAATCTGCCAATAAGAAAAACTTGTTAAGGTCAAGTAAAATAGCTACAAGAATTTGCAAACTAGCTCAATGATTACAGTATTGAAATTTTTCGCAATCACGCAGTTAAATTTACATCTAAAAAGGATTGTTATCGGGAGCCCATAGGCTCCTGTTGTTATTTAATGATACGCACCAAATTATTACTTAATAACGACTTTTTCGTACCCCTACGATAGTCTTTATTAACGTTTTCCTACCTACGTATTTGAAGATACGTTTTTTTCTCTTGGACAAATTTTAACGTTTAGCTAAAGAATCTGATTGTTATTGAACCATAAGATTTAAATTGACTTCTTTCATGTCTGACTTTTGTGGTTGATAATCAAATCTTAAATTAGTTTTGCCTAGCAACGACAAAACAAAACAAAACAAAACTAAGATAATCAGGTATGGACAAGTCAGAATTGTCCACGAATAATGTTAAAAAAAATTAGTGTTATGTAACGAAGGTGGTTAGCGTTTTACCTCTCCTCATCTAACTCATTACACCATACAAAATCAAGGAAAATGTATAAGACATTTTACGGCTAACGGTTTAACCCATTGAGACCCTCCTGGGGAGGAGCTAGAGAGGTACTAAAGCTGATATCTGACTAGATTTTATCTTTTGTGATATCAGAGAGATCATTAGGCCATCTAAGTGCTGGGAAAGCGCATAAATTGAAATTTGACCGCAACAAGGAATTTATTGTATTTATCATGAGGGAGATTCAAACACTACATTAGCGTGTATGCCCACGGCTACTGGCAGCATCGGTTCTTTAGAAGGTAGATTCATTAACGTTATTTCCGGTGTTATTAATTCCTAAACTATCTCATGGTAAAAGCCCCGTCATTAATTTTATCCTCTCAGTAATCTTTCGAAGAATTTAAGCAATATCTTAGACGTCGATATTAACTTTTGAAGACTCGGAAACATTGTTACTCTTCCTTTTGACCCTGGACTGAAATATGCCAAGCATAAAGTTTAATACGCTATAATTTTGTATTCGGGTTTGAATACAAAAGAATCATGAATAATCAGGTTTTGTATTCATATGTAACTGATTTACATGACATGAACATAGTTCACCATTAACTCGAAGAAAACTTTGTATAGTTGCAGTTTAATGAATTGCAACTAAGGACTGTGTTAACCCAAGCTGCATGGAACTTACTTGGTCCATTCGATAGTGAGTCCAGTTACTATCTTTGACTTGATCTGCTACAAAGGCTTTGTAGACATGTTATTGTCTGTTGTGATATCCATAAATTCAAAGAATCCTTTCAGGAAAAGAGTCACGTTTAGCATAATTGAAATCAATACAAAATATATAGATGTATTGCATCTTTGTTTCATCGGTTGTTTTTTGAGAAAAATGCGCTAAGGCTACAACTCAGATTTATTCGTCGTGAATATAATGATTGACAAACGAAATGAGACTGTATGGCGATTAAATTTTGGCCATATTAATGTCACAATGACTCGTTCCCGTGAAACTCATCCTTTCTCTTGGAAAGTGTAGGAGAGCACTTGAAAGACCCAAAGTTGCTCTCGACTGCGCCTCGAGCAACTCTTACGCTTCTCTCGAGCTCTCCAAACTTCCCGAGCGCATCCATAACTCGATGTACACAAGCTGAGCATTAAATAACTCTTTACTGAGCCAGAAACTTGATAGAGTGTTTTTTCAGCTTTTGTTCTTTAATATAGAAAATGTCCTAGAAATTTTTTTAATGATATGGGCTTGCTTTCTTTTGCGCTTTAAATGGGAAAAACTAATTAGACAGTTTCCTGAGGCACTAATTTCGCCATTTTACAGCTGTCTGAAATACTGGAAGCAGATCTAGGCAAAATAATTAATGGAGTTTGTAAGCTCATTATTGCATATCCCATAAGGTATTAAATTTTCAACCATGTGCTACACGTTTTTCGATTTTCTCGAAGTCCTCTGAGACATTTTCACTTTCATTATTGAAACTGGTTTCTAAGTCAAAATTCTCATAAATGCTGCATGCTTTTAGCTTTTCCAGGTTCCTTCGGTACTTCTATAAATGGATCATCCCAGTTGTCTTCATCTTCTATCTCAATGTGTAAATGTCATTGTGGCCCTAATGCCACCAGATCATACAATATATCATCTTCCGTGAATTCTCCGTTTGTTATGCCCCTGTGTCACTGATAAAGCGCTTTTGGACCATTGGGAATTAGCGCTCCATAAATACTGTGTATTATAATTTATTGGAAGAATTGAAATAATAATTCAAGCTCACGGCATACTAGAGGGCAGTATAAATACAAAAAAATTGGTAACTTCATTAAGATAGGAGTCTTAAATCAAGTATGAAAGTCCTTGTATGAATGACTGATAAGTAGAAGAATTCGGCTGATATGTTTGCATTCTTAGTTCAGCTTGGGATCATGAAATGATTACTTATAATTAATATGTTATTTGCCAAACGTTTAAGAGTACAGGGGCAATACCAACATTGTGGTAATGTCAGTCAAAACAGGGAAATAATATGGTTGGGTGTTCATTGCATTTTATTGTAATAACAGTATTGTGTTATATTAACACTATTACGTTCGACATTTCAGCGATCATGACTTTTCTTTTTCTTTGGCCAATGTACTTGTGCCTGGTATCCAGTCCACCCCGAGCATAATTCTTGACGGTTCTACGTCTGCAGTTGTCCCTTCACCAATCCTAATTTCTGCCTCGGAAATTAAGTTCCAAAGTTTTCCTTGCTATGGGTGCATTGTGCATTTGATGAGCACAGTTTTTCGCCGTTTCTTAGGACAATGACATCCACCATTTTACAGTTTTCTGTAATTCATAAGAACTGAAATAGAAGCAGATCACTGCGATACAAGTACATCGCGATTGCTTGCTAATTATGGGGAATCCTGAGGGAAAATATTAGTCTTTGCATTTTTCCACCATGTGCCGTACGTTTTCGATTTTCTGCGATCCTCTCAGACATTTCCACTCAATGTATATCAACGTATAGTCTACAGTGGCGGATCCCGACCTTGAGCTAAGGTGGGGCCGGTTTTTTGTGGCTTGCCCTGCCGGCTTTTCTTCTTTCTGCGATTCCTTTTTCTTTACCCGAAAAAAGGGGAGCCCAGGGCCCCCGGGCCCCTCCCCCAGATCCGCCTCTGGTCTATACCAAGCTTCTTACATTAAAACTGATTCCTTTGTCAAAATTCTCATAAAGCCTACTGTTTGTAGCTGTTTCAGGTTCTTACGGCACTACTATCAGCGCATCATCCGAGGTCTCGTCTAGTAAGTATACCTACACATACATCATTTATTTAAAGAATTGAAATACCGAAGTAAGACTTTAAGTTCATGTTGTAAGATGGGGCTGTACGAATTCAAACACTAGGTGTCTTCGAATACTACTAGGAGTCTTAAATCAAGTATGAGAGTCTTTCTACGAATCATTAATAAATAGACGAATTTGGCTGACATGTTTACATTATTGAGGATCGTGAAATGATTCCTTCGGAAGAAATATGGATGTGATTCCATCGCATTTTATTTAAATAACATTATTGTGTTAAAGTGTACTCGATTTTTCAGCCATCATGACTTTTCTTTTTCTTTGGCCTATGTAGCTGTGCCTGGCATCCAGTCCACTCCGAGCTCACTTCTCGACGGTTCCACGTCTACAGATGTCCCTTCACCAATCCTTATTTCTGCCTCAGAAAGTAAGTTCCAAAGTTTTCCTTTCTATGGGTGCGTTGCGCATTTGATGAGCACAGTTTTCGCCACTTCTTGGTACACTGACATCCGCCATTTTACAGTGAAATGATTCCTTCGGAAGAAATATGGATGTGATTCCATCGCATTTTATTGTAATAACACTATTGTGTACTCGATTTTTCAGCCATCATGACTTTTCTTTTTCTTTGGCCTATGTAGCTATGCCTGGCATCCAGTCCACTCCGAGCTCACTTCTCGACGGTTCCATGTATGCAATGGACATGCCGGATCGTAAGTTCCAAAGTTTTCTTTTCTATGGGTGCGTTACGCATTTGATGAGCACAGTTTTCGCCACTTCTTGATACACTGACATCCGCCATTTTACAGTTAAGTTATTGTTAAACTCAGGATCGTGAAATGATTCCTCAGGAAGAAATGTTGTTGTGAGTCCATCGCATTTTATTGTAATGACACTATTGTGTTAAAGTGTATTCGATCTTTCAGCTTAAATGACTTTTCTTTTTCTTTGGCCTACGAAGCTATGCCTTACATCCAGTCCACTCCGAGCATAATTCTTGAAAGTTCTACGTCTGCAGTTGTCCCTACGCAATCCCTCATTTCTGACGGTAAGTTCCTTTATTTTGGTGCCTTGTTTGATGAGCAAATTAGAACGATTTACTCGCCACTTCTTGGGACACGGACTCCCGCCATTCAACAGATTTCTGAAATTCTTAAGAAAACAGAGGCAGATAGATGTGTGCAATATAAGTCCATCGCCATTTTAATCTCACCATTGGGAATCCCAGGAAAAAATATTAGTTCAACTTTACGACCAAGTGCTGTTCGTTTTTTCGATTTTTCTGTGGTCTTCTCTGACATTTTTACTTAATGAGGGTCTCAATAGGGTTAAGCAGTTCGGACACAAAGCGAGAGGTGTCAGATGCACAATAAAAATAACAAACTCCAAGGCCGGTTACAGAAGAAAAAACCGGATTGTTACAGCGTTAAGGAAATTATATTTAGCGTGTCTTGAGCGTTTGCAGTATGTGTGTTTTCAATTCAGTTCCAACGCAACTCGTTTTTAAAAATTGGGCAAAATATTTACCGCAACCCGTCAGTAAAAACGTGTTCATGTATCAGCCAGGTTAATAAGAGTAGAAGTCACTTTGAGCAAGCTACGTTCTCTGTCAAAAGCAGAGGTCGTTCATACAAGCCTTTTTTATCTCACGTCTGACCACTCCTAAAAGGTAAAGAATACCTACCCTTGCTAAATATACATAAAAATCAACTATCTTAATTTAAAATTGCGAGTGAAATATTGCATTGAAGTATTTCATTGCAGTATGGATTGCTTCCACAAAATTAATTGGTTTGACGGTTGATCTGACCTTACGTAGAAAGTTACGAACGCCAGATGGTTCAAGTTTCAGTAAACAAGGGATTTTGAAAGAAGTTAAAGAAAAAAATTTGTCACAATAAACAACTAACAATTTTCTGCCATCAAATACGCGTTGGACTCTTCAGTGAGCGAAGGAAGACGAAAGAACTACTTCGACGAAGCCTAGTGCGAGAGCTGACATGCACAAATGCTAGAAAGAGTCCCGACTCGCGAGCGCTTACAAGTGAGTATTAGCCGCTCTCCAATTTTTGGGTATATTGAATTCCATAAAACAAAGGATCTTATTTTGTAATCATGTTTAAGAGAACTACAGATTGTGTTCGTGACTCAACAGAAACCCTGCCTAAAGTTCCTTCGACCAGTCCCTGTGAACTTTATGGAGTTTTCCCCATAAGTTCCCTAGTGTATGTCTTTTACTATGAAAAGTAGGTAAAATTTTTTCGAATATAATATACAATTAATCATGAAGCCCAAATTGGTTTCCAACGATGTTTGCAGCTCTAAAAGTTCTAGATGTGGTGTAATTCAGTTAAATGTACTTACCCTAAAACTATAATCATTCCCTACATAATTCCTTTTTTTGATTCCCTTTTTGTAGCCTTTGAACTTACTTTCCTTGCAAGTGACAAGCAAAATGCCGGGACAACTCAGAATGCTTGGATCGTACTTGAAGGAGAAGAGAGGAAATATCAGGAATATTCGATAGAAAATAGCGCAAAGAACAATTTTCTATGTAGGGGACAAACAGACACATTTAAATTTGCGACTAAAATTCTTGAGAACCTTACTCACGTGACACTGAGACATCAAAGACGGCAGGGATCTGTTGTCAAGGGAACTGGGAAAGAGACTGGTTGGTTTTTACATCAAGTGTTTGTGACCAAACCTGGGACAGGGAAAAAGCAAGCTTTGTGTTGACTCTGTTTAACGTAACTTGGATTGTTTCTATGGTAAAACGGAAATTTAATTCTTTTGAAGGACTCTTGGAGTTAGCGACAAACCATATAACTTGGACGGTTCATGGTTAAAAAACATTGTTTGTGTTTAAGTGCAGCAAATGTCATCAAAAGTATTTACAGAGCAACAACTGGTAACGAGATGCAGCCAACATCACGCAGCATACGGGAATAGGCACTTGAAGTGACATTATGTTGCTGTTATTGTTATTGTTGTTTTTATTGTAATTTTTTATTGTAATTTTGCGTTTGTTTCCATGAAAGTGTCGTGTAGTGTCTACGTCGCTATGCTACGTCAGCGGTGAAGACTTTTACTGGATACTGGACAAGATGAAGGTCTAAAACAAACGCAGAATTACAGGCAGCAACAAAAACAACAATTAATAACAATAACAACAACACAATGTCACTTCAAGTGCTTATTCACGTATGCTGTGTGATGTTGGCTGCATCTCGTTAACAGTTGTTGCTCTGTAAATACTTTTGATGACATTTGCGGCATTTAAAAAAGAGAGTTTTTTTTTTAACCAAGAACCGTTCAAATTAAATGTTTTGTCGCTAACTCCAAGAGTCCTTCAAAAGAATTAAATTTCCGTTTTACTTAAGAAACAAGTCAAGTTGCGTTAAAAAGAGTCAGCACAAAGCCTACTTTTCCCCTGTCTCAGGGTTGGTCACATGTAAGAATCAACCAGTCTCTTTCCCAGTGCCCTTGACAACAGATCCCTGCCGTCTTCGATGTCCCAGTGTCACGTGAGTAAGATTCCTAAGACTTTTGGTCGCAAATTTAAATGTGTCTGTTTGTCCTCTACGTAGAACTTCTTTGCTTTCATCTCCCTTTTCTCAGTGGCTGTGGTCAACAGTACTCAGTTCCACAACAGACCTGGAGGTAAACAGTGGATGTTAAATCCCAAGCATGCGTTGGTTCTATAAGCATGCTTGCTATGAGCTTTGTCCAATATGACAAACATCAGAACTGTGATTTAAGTCCACATTTTTGCTGGATAATCCTTGTCCTAAATCAAAAAAGGGCAGGCTGGGCTCGTTGGCCATGGTCGGTAGCCAGCCTATGGGACTAAACCCAAACAAAAATTGTTTGGGTGGGCGGTGGGATGCCAACTGTGACTTCCTTTCAGCAGCTCTTGCAGCCAAGCTGGTGCCAAACATATCGCTCCGCGCTCCTTTGAACTACATTAGTGAGGCCAAGAGGGTGATCCTGTCGCCTGGGCACCCTAGGATCTCTATTCACCTCGCCTAGGCTCGCACCCTGGAGAGGTCACTTTAGTGCCGCTGCTCACAGCTTCAGAAACAACATGGGAGGCAGTAGTCCTGAGTCCTGAGTGATTAGCGTAAGCTCGGACGCTGCGGGATGTCTTCGACGGTTGGAAGGACCGTCGCAGTTCTACTGGTCAGCTACCGCCTTCTTCAAGCTGGGCAACCCCCAGCCAGTAAGGTGCTCACCCGCCATAGTCTGCCTGCTTCAATGGGTGCTTGGAGCTCAGGGAATAGACCGAAAAGCAGACTGTAAACCCCGCACCAGGCAAAGACAGAAGAAAGAGAAAAGTAAAAATCTTGTGACTAGCAAGCTGGAATGTCAGAACATTATGTCCAGGCCTCTCCGATGATCCACAACAGATTGACGACGCCAGGAAAACGGCAATCATGAACCGTGAACTCAGGAGGCTCAACATTGACATTGCTGCTCTGCAGGAGACAAGACTCCCATCCAGCGGTAGCCTAAGAGAACAGGATTACACATTCTTTTGGCGGTGAAGGGAACCGAAGGAGGAAAGATCAGATGGCATTGGATTCGCATGGAGAAATTCACTACGGTCCTCCATCGAACCGCCACAGTTAAAAGGAACAGCCCAAATCCTCTCTCTTCGCCTATCAACCTCATCAGGCCCAGTTAACATCCTGAGCAGTTATGCTCCCACACTCTGTTCCACAGCTTAGATAAAGGACGAGTTTTACGAGAAGCTTGAGACAACCATCAGAAATATCTCCGCCACAGAACACTTGTACATGCTTGGAGAATTCAATGCCCGAGTTGGAGCTGACTACAACTCCTGGTCCCGTAGCATCGGCCATTTTGGCATCGGAAAGCTATATGAGAACGGGCAGAGATTACTAGAGCTTTGCTCTTACCATGACCTTTGCATAACTAACACTTTCTTCTCCACCAAACTTAACCACAGAGTCTCCTGACGGCACCCCAGATCCCATCATTGGCACCAACTGGATCTTGTCATCACCCGAAGACCCTTGCTGAACTGTGTCCTCGTCACTCGTAGTCATCACAGTGCTGACTGTGACACCAACCCCTCCTTGGTCAGCAGCAAAGTACGCCTTTAACCAAAACGAACTCACCGCGCAAAGCAGAAAATACGTCCCCGTATCAAGGCCGCCAGAAATCTCTCATTTCATTTTGAAATGAAGGTCGATTTCAAGGTTTACTTGAAACCAAGGTTAATATTCAAGAGTTGCCTTGAAATTATGGTTGTTTTCAAAATTTGCCAGAATCCCTCTTTTATATCTGCTGTTTCTGTAGCGAATAATCAGCATTTCAAACTTGTTCTTTCAGGGTAACGTTCAGCCCAGAATTTCAGGCACGCTTTAATCTGATCCTACACGCGTCTAGCAAATGATCGCCACATGATGCAATCAAATTGAGTGTGTCGCTATGATCGGACTCACATCTGATTGAACCAAATTATCAGACATCAGATAATTTAAATATTCAAACCCCTTGGAGAAGTGGTGAACTTTCGTGTTCTAGATGAATTTGATAATAACTGGCAGTCAAGCGGTAAACTAACTGTTATCAACAACTATAAATATAAACCAGTCGTCGAAATCCGTTGTTTACTGAAACTTGAACCGTCTGGCTTTCGTACCTTTTTACGTAAGGTCAGATCAACCGTCAAATTAATTTTGTGGAAGCAATCCATACTGCAATGTATCACGTTCGCAACATGCAGAGGGCTTTTTATGCAATACTTTTACTCGCAATTTTAAATCGAGGTAGGTGATTTTTACGTATATTTGGCTAGCGTAGGGATTCTTTACCTTTTGGCAGTGGTCAGACGTGAGATAAAAAAAGAAAGCTTGTAATAACGACTTCCGCATTCGACAGAGAACGAAGCTTGCTCAAAGTGACTTCTACTCTTGTTAACCAAGCTGATACATGCACACGTTTTTACTGACGGGTTGCGGTAAATATTTTGCCCCATATTTTAAAAACGAGTTGCGTTGGAACGGAATTGAAAACACACATACTGCAAACGCTCAGGACACGCTCATTATAATTTCCTCGTCGCTATAACAATCCAGACTCGCGTGGGTTTTTTCTTCTGTAACCGGCCTTGGAGTTTGTTATTCCTATTGTGTATATGACCTTTCTCGCTTTGTGTCCGAACTGCTTAAAAGACTCGAACGCTTTTTGACATATACTCGCACATGGGATGAGATAAAAAGCGATAAATCTAGAGCCAATAAAGAAAGAACAAATTTGACAAGATGGAGAACAGCTTGGCACACTATTTGCAAGAGTATATTTAGTGATAAAATGGAAACGACCTTTTTTGACTTTCGTTCATCTCTTCGACCTTCATCAGAGTAAATTAGAGATGCAGTCCATTCTTCTTTGGCGCATGATAATGAGAGAACCATTTTGATGGCGTATACATGTATAAAAAATAGTATAAGAAGGTGAATTGATGGGTTTGCAAGTCGGTGAAATCGGCCTAAAAACCTTACTAATTAAGCAGATTAAGGGATTCGAATTATACCTTAGATCGCAAATTATGTAAAAATAATAGCCTAGATTCCGGCTTTCTTCTAAGTGAGAACTACCACATGCCGACTGTAAATCGCATCCTTTGTGTTCTTTTAGTCATGGTCACCATGGTATATTAATTTTGTCGAATGATTTCTTCACTTCAAGGTATTTAATGTAAGTCGACCTTTTCTGACTAACAGACTCTGAAGGCTTTGCAATTCAATTTGTATTTGTGAAACGCTTGAAAGACATTACCGTCTCAAACATAAGCGAAGATAGAAAACAAGAGTAAAATATGAGTATAAAACAAGAAAACAAAGACATGTTTACATTCACTTATCTGGGAGACGAATTTGAACGAAACTATCGATCGTCTGATCCGAAGTACCCGGCCAGTAAAGTTAATAAAACAGGCGGACTCATCCCAACCCACCCCTCTCGTCAAAAGAATCGAATCTAGCGAGGACTTTTCCTGTGGAAAACGTTTCTTCAGTTCCGATATACCTCGAAGACACAGAAATAAGTGCTTGGAGTGAGTTAAGCTATAATTACCTTAAACCAAATCCCTTAAAATTTTTTTTTATCGAGCACAACCGTTTCCTGTTTCCGTTTGCTGTTAGGCGACATAAATATTGTACAGAGTACAAATGTAATCTTATATCGAGTTTAGGTTGCCGGTGATAAGACGGAGGAAGCTGTGACTTTCATGCGACATACATCCTGCTGAGATCTTTCGCAATCACCAAATCACGTCAAACCGTTCTTAGTCATAAGTGACAGAAAACAGGGCGCGTCGGTGCCTCAGAAAAAACGGAAGTGTTCCCAAACAGTCGCTCATTCATAAACATTGCGTTGTCACCAAGGTATACACGTCTCGTAATATTGATAAAAAAAAATAGAGTTTTCTATCGAATAAATCAGATAAATACTTTGTATTTTTGTTCTAAAGCATTTTCCGACTGAAAACGACGACTGAAAAATTGTTTTCATAGACAGTTTTTTTACCGTTTCGTAATTCTCAAGAGACCTTCAAAGTTGCCTAGTAACCTTGTTTGTAGTTCGCGTGATCAAGCGAATGTAGCGAGAAAGTGGTAAGACCCTTAACTTGAAAGTATGAGGCAAAGCGCGTGTTGTGTTTTGATTCTTTTTATCATTTTCCATAAAGGTAAGTCAACCTTCTCGCCTTCTAATATTTGATGAAACGAAGTTTAGTCAAGGCCAAACTTAACTGTAGGTATGCGTTGAAAAACTTCAAGGTTTAAGGTTACTCGACAGGCTTGCAAACATGTCAATTAAAGATGGCTTCAAGAAACGTTTGTTTAATCGAGGTATATAAGTGTCATCTTCTTGTACTGTGAAAATAGGGTTTGAAGGCATAAGATTGTTCAAAACAACCGTGTTTTAGGAGCCGGATAAAAGGAAGAAACAGACAACGGTTCTTATAAAAAGGAGAGAACACATTTTAAGGTTCGTTTCATTCAGAAGCTGCGGCGTTTGTTATTTGGTCGATCGAAGGACTAAATTACGCAAAAGTGATACTGGAGTGTACTTAGTAAATTGTGATAAGCTCTTTTTGTGATACGTAAACTTTTACGTCGCAAAAAAAAAAAAAAAAACTGATATACATATATATATTTCTCATTCATTTAACACAATGGAAGTTCTAATGGGGCCTATTGAACGAATCCTGAGAAATTCAGGCCTAAATTGGATCCGGAAGCATTAAGGCTTCTTTAAACAGCATTCAGTTGAAGGCCTCATCCTTACTGCGATGTTGTTTTTTTCAAATGCTACTGAAGAACAACAAGCATCGATCGATCCCGTTTAAGAACTGTTGCATTGATTAGGTAAACGCAAGTTATAACTATATAGTGATTATGCTGGGCAGAACATAACCAAGAAAAAAAAAAGGCCCGTGGACAGTCAAAACAATCTAATTTGTTATTGTTGTTGACATAATATTTCTCTGGTAGAACTAGTTTCACTACATCATGACTGTAAAATTCTAAATAATTAAAAGGATCATATGTTAAATAAAGACAGAGGCAGATGTGTTAGAGTCAGCCGTTAGTAGCGCCGTGTTTTTTCTAATGCCGGAAAATAAGAATACTAGAAGTTTACTTCGTTTGTCTTCGATTCATGAATTAATTGGAGGCCTTGAGCAATGACGTAAAATGGAGCGAATGAAATATATCTGTAAAGCGAAGAAGAGGTAAATGACGTCTTATACAGATTAAAATTTGGGTTCAAAACTCAGACTATGCTAATAAACTTTTGTCAGACTATTATTAACAGCTTCTCCGATCGAATTACTGACAAGAACCTTTCACGGCTGTCAGGCGGCCTCGCGTGTCTTAAAGGTCATGTTTCATATGAAAACCAAATGTCTAATCATGGGTAAATTACGGAATTTTATCCAAAGCTTTCTATCTCTCTCTAAGTGGCAAAGGAGCTTAATCTAGCTCTAAAGAGCTATTTCTTAATAACAAGAAAATTGGGCATTATCAGTTGATAATGTAAATTCATTCAGTTTCTGAAACTTGACGTTTCGAGGTAGGACTTTCGTTAGCCCTTCGAGAAACCTCTCATCCGACGCAGACAGTAATAAAACTGATAACCTAATGGACCTCAAAAAAAGAAAAAACAAACTAATAGCATCCACTTTATGTTGATAATTGTTAATTAACTGGAATTTCGAAAAGCTGAAGTTTCGAGCGTAAACCTGAGTCGCTGCATATTTATATACAGAGTTTCTTTAAAATTCAATAATTCGATGGTTTGATTATTTAAAATTTTTTCCACCATAAGAAAGCTGAATTTAATTTTAAGATTGCCTTGTTGTCGGTTTGTAAGTGAGATCGAAAAAAGTGATCTGTTGGCTATTCATGTAAAGTCAAGTCAATTTGGCTTGAAACGTTCGAAATCGAGCTGATCAACGGCGAAACTTTCATTTAGAATGTGTAACACTTCAAGTCAAAATTAGTTAACATGAACTGCTCCATACATTTTACATCGTTGATATTTTTACTAACAAAATCCAGTCAAGACATCGTTTTTGATTTCCATTCAACTTTGTACTCTTTTAGTAGCTGGACAGAATTCGTCTTCGCAGTCGGTGACTCCTTCGATGACTATTACTACTTCTACGGTTGTGGAAGGTTCTACAACTCCTTCGATGACTTTTAACAATACATCAGCCAGTCCTCAACGTAACAGCAGCGCATCACCTATGTTTACTGGCCAGCCGTCTTCTACGTTCGTTTTTCTAAGCTCATCAGGAGTTTCTTCTTTTTCCACTCAAATCTACAATTCAAATGGTACTCCGACAATCAGCATTCATTTAGAACTGCACGTTTGACCAGAGAAAAACATGCACACACAAGACTCTTTGTTTTGAGATGAAAATTTCAAATGATGTCTAAATTTTCCATAAATGTCTTACTATCCTTAAGTTTCACAAGAGGATATGAAACTGAATGTGTATGTAGGTAAGCCTAAAGCTCTTATGATGTGATGCGTTTATGAGCTTCATGGTTCTTATCGTTTTCAGCGTCATAATTCATTGCCATTTCCGTTTTTGACCTTCAATGCGTGATTACCGAATTCAAAACCAGAAAAATAATAAAAGTAAAAAAAAAAGATAATCTAGGAAATGAAAAACAACCAAAAATCAAACAAACAAAAAACCCAGGAATTTAAAACGTATTGTCTTTTCGCGCGAGAATTGGATTTACAAAAGTTCGAATATACTATGGTTCTATTTTACAAATCGTATAAACCATACATGGCTAAATGTATTGAAGCCCTATGATAATTATGTTGCCATGTAATTACATATTTTTCCATTTTTTCCTCATTTTTCCAGCGAGCACAGTAGAGCCGCCTACTACAGGTAAGTACCGTCATCAGTAATATTAAAATAAAAATTCACATCTTAGTGTTAATTTTGATGTTATTTGGTAGCGACAAGACCAACAGAAGCATCTTCAATGCGTAAGTACCGACATCAAAACCAGAGAAATAATCGAAATAAAAAAATATATTCTTGGAAATGAGAAAAAAACAACAAAAACAACAAAAAAATTTAAAAAAAACCAAAAAAACCCAGGAACTTAGATCGTGAAGTCTTTTCGTGCGAGAACTGGATTTACAAAAGTCTGAATATAGTATGCATATGGTTCTATTTTACAAATCATATAAACCATACATGGCTAAATGTATCGCAGCCCTATGATAATTATGTTGCCATGTAATTGGATATTTTTCACTTTTTCCTCATTTTTTTAAGCGAACACAACAGAGCCGTCTACTACAAGCAACAAGACTGGAGGTAAACAAACAAACAAATAAACAAACAAAAAACAGGAATTTAAAACATAAAGTCTTTTCGCACGAGAAGTAATATATCAAACACGCGGAAGAGTGTTTCATCCGATATCTAAACACCGAGAGGTGGTTGAAAAAACGAGGCGCAGCCGAGTTTTTTTTTTAACCAATTACATGGTGTTTGGATATCGGATGAAACATCCTTTCGAATGTTTGATATAGCTTCTCAAACCATAATTCTTGGAGAAAATCAAAACAAAAAATCATCAAATTTTATGATAATTAAGATCACATATCCAAACCTCCTTCACGGTTGTAATTCCCTTTGTTTTCTCAGCATGAATTATCAATGAGTATGAGAATTGAATTTACAAAAGTTCGAATATACTATGGTTCTATTTTACAAATCATATAAACAATACATGGCTAAATGTATTGAAGCCCTATGATAATTATGTTGCCCTGTAATTGCCTGTTTTTCAATTTTTTCCTCATTTTTTTTAGCGAACACAACAGAGCCGCCTATTACAAGTAACAATACTGGAGGTAAAACATAAAAAAACTGATCTATATACAGAAGTAGATAAACCATATAAACATATAAACCATACATGGCTAAATGTATTGAAGCCCGATGATAATTATGTTGCCCTGTAATTACATATTTTTCCATTTTTTCCTAATTTCTTAGCGAACACAACAGAGCCGGCTTCTACAAGTACCAAGACTGGAGGTAAAACATAAAAAAACTGATCTATATACAGAAGCAGATGTCAACCATTTAGTATTTTATCTAACCTCAAGCTATTTACAAAATATCAAAATCCGTGGGTATACAATTTTTAGATCTAGTTTTTATCCTCTCCAAATTCTCTCTTCGCGTGCTTTATAACTTAATAACACTTTCATATCTTAATTATTTTATATAATTATTATCTTCGTAGAGTTGTAATTTTGCGAAAACGTGTAATTAGGAGAATAAACAAGTCCAAATATGAGGCACACACAGATCCTATTTTCAAGAAACTTAACTTACTTAAATTTCAAGGCATTCACTTGGTACAGTTATGTCAGTTCATGGTCTTATTTAAAAAAACCTGTCCTCCTTCGAAAATTTGAAAACGTACCCATGAGAAACAACCAAATCCACGGCTAAAACACAGGGCATGCAAACTCTTTTTGTCCGCCGTTATGTAAAACAAATATTCCACAGTTTTTCCGTTTTCTTTGAAAGTCCAAAGTTTTCTTGAGATCAATGGCCCTTCATCCCTTGCATCCTTTAGAAAAATGATGGTTTAAGCATATGTTATCAATAAGTATTAATTTTACTTTAATGACTATTACATGGCTTGTCGCCACATTGATTTTTCGATATCTGTTATCGAGATTTATATTTATTTCGCACTGCTTTTGAGGGAACTTAAGTTTAATCTTTCCTTTTGGTGTTGGTTTTCTTTACCATCTGTAGGAACAGAAGAACCGGATGCCAAATCCTGGATGTGGATTATAATTGGTGCTAGCGTGGGAGGAGTGGTTGTATTCGTGATCGTTGTCATTATCGTTTGCAGATGGTAAGTCAATATAACAATTCTTAGCGCCAAAACCTCTTATCCTGGATCTGGTGTCACATGTGGATTGAGTTTATTGTTGGTTCTTGTCCTTGCTCTGAGGGTTTTCCTCGGAGTTCTTGGACTTTCCTTTCTTCACAAAAACCAAACATTCCAAACCGTCTCGTGGGATGTCAATATCATTATTATCATTATTACTATTATTGTTATTATTATTATTACTGGTTTTATTTTTACTTTTATTTTCATTATTGTGTACCAGTTCTCCCCCAGACTGGGATACCAGGCAATCCCCTTGCATTTTTTCAAGCTTTCCTGACAGTTTTCCGGTGCTTGTATGTAATAACGATTTTAAAGAGGTTCTGCTAGGGCAACGTACGCGCCCAAAGGTATAACACTATAACTCCAGCTATGTCTTGAGCCTGAGCCGTATGATTTGGAGACAAAGGCTCCACATTTAAGGGTACAGCTCCCTCCATTGTCTCCTTACCACGTAAATTCAAATAAAAATCAAGAGATTTGAATTATCAATGTGAAGCTATTCTTCAATCTCTTTATTTTAGTTTGAAGAGGAAGAGAAAAAACAGAAATGTTGTGTTACCTAATGATGCTGATGCTGATGACAAACCTGGAGGAAACGTCGCCATGGAAAGTTATAATCAGTCTGAAGAGAGGCCAAAGCTAGCACCCAGCCAATGAAACGCTTTCTTCTGTCTTAAATGTAGAAAGTAAGCACCCCATAGATGGCCACCGCTCAGCTGTCTACCACACGTGTACTAGGGGACTTTAGATGTCACATGGGAACAATATTAGTCCGTAGATCAGTGTCCGCAGTTTTAGTCGTATGATGGTAAACGTTTGTCAGAACTTATCTAGAAAACATGATTAGACGTGAACCCCGTGAAACTAAAACGATTTTGCAAATGCGTTTTCCACGTCTCGTGAAAGAAAGATTGTAAAATATGAGTGTGTCATATCGCTTAACAGCACCTTAGTACACCTTAAGCTCTTGATACTATCTTATATTTATCTTATTTGAAAACTGGTTAGAAATTTTTTTAAAAGTGGTTTAGAAAAAGCCTCGGTTGTTCGAAGGCTGGATAACGCTATCCATTGGATAAATTGCCATACAGCGGAAAGAATAGAATGTTTTGTTAACACCTATCAGCTGGTTAGCAATTTATCCGGCGGAAAAGCGGTATCCAGCATTTGAAAAACCGAGGCCAGAGGTATAGTTTCTTCATACGGAGACCATTTTCATCGCTAGATAGTGTGTTCAAAATTTAGGTCGTGTTTTATTCGGTTCAACCGTTTCAGGTCTACTTTGGGAACTTAAGTCGCCTTAAGTCGTCTGAAGTCACCTTAAGTCGCATTAAGTTGCCTTAAGTCGCTATTGGTTACGCAATGTTATAAGGGTTCCAACCTTTCCAATTGACCCCATTCACTCCACTCCAATCATAAGGATCAGAGGAGGAGGCATGGTGGCAGAATGGTTGGTGCACTGGACTCATCATTAAGCAGTCCAGTTTTGGTCATTGCATTGTGTTCTTGGGCAAGAAACTGTAAGCTCAAAGTTCCTCACCTCTTCCAAATGTAAATATGGGTACTGGTTGTGAGGGGAGGAAACCTTGCAATGAACTATGAGTTATTTTTAGGTGGGCAAGTGCTTCCATATACATGGAAACCCCGTGTGAAAATAGTCATTCACCTGTCTAGCCCCTGTGCTGGTATGGGTAATTCCTACATATAGACAATCCTGATGTAGGAAACGTGACAATGTATACTCTTCTATTTTCTTAATAAAACAGCCATCTGTTTCAACTAAATTTCATGATGAACAAGTTGATCAAAAGGTTGATACTGTATATTATCATCAGTAAATACTAAATATTAAATCAATTCAAACCTAAAGTTCCGGATCATCATGATAAAACAAAATAGAAAGACCTTAAACCTTTGTAGCTCGACGAACCTACTAAAGGCGTAAATATTTATCTATCTTGAGACTTTGATAGACCTTGAGACTTTTTGTAAATTTAATTTTCGTCAGTTTGATGATCAACATACATGAGCCCCTTCTAAGCCGAGAAAAACCTTTTACAACAAACATGGCCGCCAGTCATATTTGATCGCGTGACTTAGTTTTGTCCCGTGACAACACGCACGCGAGCCTGCTGACAAGTGTACAGAGAAATAACCAATTTATCTGTGCATAAAAAAAAAAAAAAAAAAGAAAAGAAAAATCATCAAAAAACTTCAAAATAATTCACTCTGAAAGTTTCACTAGGCGATCTGAAATTAATGTGTGATCTAGAAAAGCTTATTTTCCTCTGAGCTGACTGAACATTGTATCAGCCTCCACAAAAAACAGAACATTCCTAATAACCAAAAGAATGTCATTTTGAATCACTACTCAATATTTTGGTATTTAATGTTAGTGAAACTTCAATCATCCTAAAACATCCATCACAACTTGATAATTTTAAATGTGAACTTAACAGTTACTGGTTACCTCACTCTGAATGATTAATGTTAACGGCCATACATTTTTAAATTTGTTACTTAACAGCCTATATTATAGTACAGGAATATAGACATAAACAAGAAATATTAGACCTTTGAAAAAGCATAATACTGCTGCCTAACATGAAGATTTTACTGACTGATCATGTCATCATACTTTGGCATTGTCAAATAAAACAAAAAATCTTCAAGATCTACAATGTTGTAATGAAATTTATCACATAACCTGCGGTGTTATACAAAGATTTCCGGCCCTGAGAAAAGCCCTAACATCACAAGTGAAAAAATACGATATTTTTTCACGTATGTTGATATAGCCAATCAGCTACTTACACGTCACTGGCCTTTGGCGCCTCTCGGTCAGGTTGATGAATGAACGGCAAAGCCTTCACGATTCTCAATGCAAGTTGTTTGTTGGAACTTTCTCGAGTTGTGGCGGCTAAAACACTAAAAAATCTGTATCGCTGGCAGACAATGAGGTTCAAAATTTTCTAGAGAGCGAAGAAAACCAATATTCTAAAAGAAAAACCGAAAGTTGCGTAGTCAGTGGCTTTGGTGTTAGCATTTCTCTCGTCTGAGTATGAAAATCGACAACTGGAAGATTTGCCACTAGCCGATTTTGGCCGTTTAGCTGAAAGACTTCTTCTGTTGGTAAGGACAAAGTCAATAAATAAGAATTTTGTAAATTGAAAATTACGACCATTGTTGTTTTTGTAATCATGATTCAACGCATTTTTCCATCCTAAGAGTCAGCGCCAACGCAGCCTACGATTGTTATTCGGGGATCGTCGATTCATTTATTTTCATTCATTAATGAAGTCGGCTTTTCTTCTCAGTAAAGGGCTATTGTGTTTATATGATAAACAAAATAACACATGGTTGCTTACAATCTCTTCTCGTGTTCAACTCGACATCTCACTCGTTCGCTGCGCTCACTCTTGAGCTATCGAGTTAAACGCTCGAAGAGAAATTCCATATCTACGCGCGCCCATGTATTATTCTCTACATCTTCAAATTAATTGTGTTAAAAAGTTTACCAACTGCTTTATAATTGATATGTAGTATACCAATGCGCTATACGATGCCGCAAGATGAGAGGACATTTTGTCACCCTTGAATTGGAATATTTTATCGACAAGTTTTTACTGGTCTTTATCTATTCTGCCAATGAAGTCTTTATTTTGGTTTCAGTGAGGAAAATCAGGCATCTAATGTATCAAAATGGACAGTGCATCGAAGTTTTGACTGTAAGCCAGACATCGGGGCCCTGGACAATACAAATATTCCAGGAAAAGTATCACATGAAGAACTGCTCGGGAACGTATTGAAGCAGCGAACAAAGGAAAAAACCGAAGCTGAAGATTCATAAAGCGGAGGAATACCGCTTGCCAGCTATTTTTCTTGACATTTCTTTCTACAAGTTTAGCATAACTTGGCTGCAAATGAGATAACTTAAACGATAATAAAAACATTGAAATAAACTTACAAGCTCTTGCGTGTCACGGTTGTTGATCGTTAAAATTGTGATAACAGAACTGATGTCATCTACCTACGTGATACAGCAGATTGCGGCTAAAGGTAAAAGTTAGATTGTTCTCGCATTTCAGTGTTGTTTAATAATTTATTAACAGTTTGAACTACAGTTGACCCGGGAAAATAGATCGCTTAAATCATCCATTACATTGCAGCGCTAACTATAACGCGTTGGTTGTATTCGCGTACAGAATGTTTTGGTATCTGCTAATGATGGTGTCTAAGTCATCCAACTTCCTCGATGGCCTGGAATTTTATTTTTCTTACCAAAAAGCTTGTAAAGGCATACCACAAACTACTTGTTGACAAAATCCAGAGATTAGGAGGAACTGTGAGCGACTGCTTCAATGAAAACACCACGCACTTGCTTTTCCCTCGTGGAGTAGATTATCATTTTGGCCTGCATTCTTTCCAATCCACGGCCCAAAGAAAAGGTCTGCCTTGTGTGTATTGACTGGTTAGCTGCTTGTATTACCGAAAGACACAATTCGAAGTAAAGTAAAGTAAATGTTCGGTAATAGCAGATAGTAAGGGCGTACTTGGCGAGAGAGCTTGAATTTTCGCGGTAAGCATGGAAACTAGTTAGCGGCGCAAAGGTTACTGGGAGAATTAAAATGGCTGAGACTAGAGAGCCAGTTATAAGTTTGTAGAATTTCGTTGTGAAAAGTAGTTGGAAAGACTGGAAAGGAAGTATTTCTACGAAGGACCTTAGCATATGGTTCTCAGTATGGTATTGGGAAGTTTTGTCTTACTAGGCAGGAGAGCAACAAATTGGTTGGGTCCCTGAAAAGGACTGAGCAATTTTGGATGCTGTTGGAAAGGCATGCGACTTGCCAAACTTTCATGCCTAAATTGACAGTGCCAAAAATATGGGAGTCAAGTTTATCAAGATAACAATTTTTATAATTTGTGAAGCTTTGTGAAATAATTAATACACGTAAATAATCAAGTTAGTTTTTTTTAATTTTGTGGAAAATTTATTGATAGTTTTATACAAATCATGTATCTTTTCTTAAATTAAAAATTTGCAAAGGAACTATGTGTATATTTTTGATAGGTTTGTTTGATGTTGGGCATATAACCCATGATGTTTTCCTAGCTATTTATTCACTAGCTTTGACTGTATAACTAAACAATAACTGTTATGGTAGTTCTTTCTAAGTTTTTTTTTTTGGCTAAATTGATTTGAAATCTGGATATTTTAGAATAGGGTGACTTGTAAGCATACAGAAGTAACCAAAATGACTACTGTGTTTATTGCGAGGGTTTCTGTTGATATTTTTAAAGTTTATGGAGAGACTGTTACTAACTTTGGTTTTATCACTTCAGTCATATAAGAAATCGCTTTAAGTCGCCTTAAGTCACCTTATGTGGCCTTATGTAGCCTTAAGTCGCCCATAGTCGCCTTAAATCGCCTTAAGTCGCAATATTTCAATTGACGCAGCAGTCTTAGATGCCACGCTACCTTGTGGGCCATTAAGAATTTTTGATAAATTAGCAACTTCGTTTCATTCCCGCGCAATTACTGAAGAGTGTCGCTAAGCGGCCCGACTGCCTCTTGAATGCTTAAGAGTTTGCGCACCTGGCGCTTTTCATGACTGAGAGGATCAATTTCTTCATAAATTCTCGTCAACGGCCATCTCGGTTCTCGGTTCGTTAAAGTGACTATTTCCCGTATCCCGCTCTTCAAAATCGCCGATTCCCGTGTCCCGTTCATTATAACAATCCCGCTTCTCGCCCTCTTCTCGCCCCCTATTTAGGGATTGAAGCTCAACTTTCGTCAGTTTCTCAACTAAATATTCCACCACGGTCGATTTTAGAGTCAAGAGCGACGAAGTCTTTATTAACAGCAGTGTACATAGTGAGCATATTTTGGTTGTGCTATTTCCTTTTGCCTGTGTTCTTCTTAGCGCCCCTATTTTAGGAGTCGTCACACCATCTCTATGGACAGCGTGTGCTTTAACCGCGGCGGTAGTGTTACGTCATATATATGAAGCCTATCTTTCAGAAAGTCTGACAGCTAAATTGTAACGATTTTAAAATTATCCTCATCATTACATTTAGAAATGCAACCGATTACACTGTCATCGGTTGCATTTCAACAAAATAGTATTTTGTTGAACCATAATTTGAATTTTTGAATAAGCAGGTGCATTTGAACAATTATTTTCTCTCTTGAGGATAAAAAGCAAAAAAAGGTTCGTCATTAAATAAAAATGAAACTTGGTCTCAAGAAGGTCCCGGATGTGAGACTTGTGCTCTGCGTGCGCAATTCTGGAGGTTCAGTGACTTCAAGAGGAAGGTGTCAAATTTCGGTCATGTCTTTTTCTTGTTATTTCAAATGCTCAATAAAGTAAAAAAAGCTTCCACTTGCCTGTCACTCATGCGGACAGGCAGTGTGACTCTTTGTCAGCTGTCGTCAAGCAATAACACGGTTGGTTGGCTCCGCCCCTTGGTTTAAACTCAAATGTAAATTACACTGTGTTAATATTATATACGCGATGGCAAGTGAATCATTTCGAATTTTAAATTTACCGCCACAAACGAAGACGGTTTTGAATGGCGGAAGGAAATAAAAACCTTGACAAATTTTTTCCATCGTGATGAAAACGTAGAAACTTATGAGAGCTTTTGAGAAATCAACCTGCTGTTCACTCGCTTTGGATCGGCTGCAGCTCAAACTGTTTTGAATATAGACGCGCATGTATGCCACGACGGTTGATTAAAAAATGATCCAAAGGTAATTACCTAGAGCGCCTCTCCTTTTATT